GCACAGGGTAGGACTAGTGCTTCTCAAATATATTCATCACAAATTAAAACAGCAAATAGGATTGTTTTAGATTTCCAAAATGCTGGCCAACAGATAAAGGCTGCCTGGTGTGATTTTTTCCTCTTTTTGACTGTTTACTACTCTCCTCCCTCACAGGATTTTTCTGAGTTCTTTACTCCTTGTGCAGTTTGCAGGAGTATTTTTATGGTATATTCCACCAGGTGGCTCTCAAGGCCCAGAATGTGAGAACTACTTGGTGTACCTACCAACTAGGAGAACTTGGGATCAAGTAGGGGCATTGTCAAATTATACTGAATTATACTGTTACATCAGATATTCAACCTGATAACCACTGGGAATAGTGATCAACACTTTAATCCCTTTGGACAAGAACACCTGCAAAAAGCAGTTGTAATTATTCTGAAAAAAAATACTAGTAAACACATAGTATAAGTGTTTAAATATGAGATGGGAATTGGAAGACAGGGAACACTGCAGCAAGTGGCCAGATCTACATCTGGTTGTTGATTATTCAGCTCTTTTCTGAAAAGTTGCTTCTGGTCTCCAGTTTTCCTTTTAAAGCAGTATTTGCTGCCTTGTGCTTACTAAGCCTCTCTATTACAGAAAGAGAGTGCAGGTTAGGTTTCACCATTTTGCCATGGCCTCTTGTCTTTTGAACCAGGTTTTATATTGTCTAGATGCAAGCTCATGAAATTAAAAGGTAGCACGTTTAAGTCAGCAAATTGAGCATTAATGTCAGAAGATGTTGAAGTTAATTTCTGAAAGTATCAGTCGGAATTTTGTCCAATTTATTAAAAATTAGATAACTTGAGTAAAGAAAGGAGACAACTAATGAATTTGCTGAAAATCCTAAGCTGGTGACTGCCTGGAGGTAATAAAACCTTTTGCTCTGGACAGATTCCACACAAGTTTGGAAGTTCATGAGATATGATACCAGTCACTGTCAGTTGCTGGATCAAGCCATGAGCTGTTCTCACGTCTCAGTTGCTGTTGTGTTCTTAAATGGATTTCTGATAGAAAATGGGCCAAGTGAGTCATGAACTGGGATAAACTGGAGGCAGATAACAGTCCAGGTCCAACAAATGTGATCTCAGTGTAGGTCAGCATTAGTACAGGGGCTTTTAGGTGAATAGTGTCAGTATATACAGTACATAGGAGGTAATCACAATCATTCTGCTTGGAGAAGACCTTTAAGATTGTGTCCAACCATAACCAAACTCTACCAACCACAACCTAACTCTCCCAAGTCCAAATGACCTGAGCATGGTACTGGAGCTGGCTTAGAAATGGTCTCTTTGGTCCCTAGCCTCAATTTATGTCTTGGAGAGGAAGCAGCATCTCTTGCTCTGAAATGCTTCTATGCACAAGTGAAATACAGGATGTTTTAATTAGTAGTAGGAGGTAATATCATGAAAGTTACTTCAGTAACAGAAGTGTTCAGCATTGGTAGCTGCAGTGTTTCTTAGAGGACCTTGAACTCCAATTTATGTTTTTGAATGACAGTAAGCCATGTCCTTTTCTGGTATGAACTTTTCCATGCTTTTTTTTGTACTCTTTAATGGGGATGCATTTGAAGGCTGTTTGCATTCCTGTCATCTAAACAAGCCACTTCTCTACAAAAAAGCAAGTTAATTAAGTCAGCCCAGTAGACCCCCCTACTGTTGTGGTCAAAGGGTGACTCAGTTGGTTTTCCAGGCTCTTTGGATGGCAAGCCACTGACACTTTCAATGGCTGGGCAGTTTAAAATTAAAAATAAGTAACTCACTAGAGGTAAGTCTGACAAGCCACCTCATTTTCCCATATTATTTCTCTAGACATTTATTCTGTATCCAAATAAAACTTAATGGCCTCTATTCTGATGAATATTCTTTAAATTAGATATGAAACTATTCTGGCTGAATATACCTTTCATTAAAACAAGCTGTCTGGAAAGAAATTCCTTGAATCTTTACAACTAGTTCCAACATAGAATATATCCATGACAACTCAGTTTGAGTTGCAGTGTATATTTCTTTTGTAGTCACTGCTTGTTTAAAGGCCAAAAAACAATTTGGTCCAAGAGACTTTTGTGGCAGAGAACTATTCACAAGACGCCCAAAGTGCATTTAGTTTCCTACCATCAGTAATCAGGCTGTTTTGCTGTAATTTCTTAGAACCCTACGTGCAGGCTGAGACATGGCAAGTCTGAATCCTTTCAGAAGGTGCCTGCAGCCCCCCGAGTTCAGTGTGCAACATCTATTTTAACTGGGAAAGACATTTCACAGGGGGTTGGCAAAAGCTCTTGGGATAAATGATGGGTAATTGGAAGCACAATGGGATGAAAAAAGACTGCTGAATATACAGGAACAGTAGCAAGCAATGGGAAATGGGACACTTCATTCTTCCAGCAGTATTTTGAGGCCTAAATTTATCCATGAACCCTTTTGTAGCAACAACAAAAAAAATTGTTTGTAAAGCAAATGTGAAAAGTTCTTAAAAAAGATTTAGAAAAGCTGATAGGAAAGAAGTTCTTTCCTTTTTGATTCTTGCTGTGGTAGCTAACTTCACTGAGTGACTTTTGAACTGACTTCACTTCCTCACCCTGTTTTCCTCCTTTTGGCTTTCTAACTCTTGTCCCCAGTTTTCTGGGTTTCAGTAATTTCTCTGGGCTCTTTTGCTGTTAGGTTCTCATAGCACTGCTTTGCAGTTGTTGGTTTAGAGCTGATTTTCACTTATTTAACTGTCAAAACACTAGTTTTACAGCATATTTTCTGTGGCATTCAAAACCTGCAAACAAAACACCTGTTTTTCAGGGCAGAAAATGAAATTCATACCTGCATTTGAAAAATTAGGCAGCAGATAATTCCAGAAAGAAAAGGCATCCTTGGGTTTTGGACATAACAGTGACATTACCTGCATAACCTGTTTACTCTCCCAGTTGCTGGAGTTTTATCACATTATATCCAGTGTGAAAGCTACTCCATTGGCTCTCACATGTTTAAAATCCTCCTAGTCTGGTAACATTTAGCACATATATTAATATACTCCTTTTTACCAAAGATACCAAGCTAAATTATACCATATATAGCACTTAACTAATATTTCTGAAATGCCTTTATTATAACAGAATATGTACATGAAAGCCATAGATTTTTAAAGTGCTACACTCTTGTTCGATGTTCTGTTTTGCTCATTACTTGGAGAGATTTCTGAGGAAGGGGAGACTTGATGTATGACTTAGAGGTTGGTACTAGATCTTTAAGGTCCCTTCCAACTGGAACCATTCTATGATTGTGAGATTTGTGTAGCCTCAATTGAAAAGTTTAGGTCTAAAACAGGGAAGCTGTTCTGTGCTTTCCTGAAAGATGGATGCCTGGGTGTTTGCCTTGTATCAGTAGAGCATAACATCAGCTAGTGCAAACAAGGTGGAAACACCTGCTGCAAGGTGACCCCAGTCTCACCATGAGCTGTTTCAGGGCAAGCAGACATCCATATGCCCAAGATTTTGTAACATAAGAATGGAGAAAACAGCTTTTATGTGCCACTGGAACTGATATGTGCTCCTAAAGTGTGATTAAATACCTGTGAAAGAGTGAAAACCTTTTAAGATCACTGCTTTTGGTTAACTGGACTGATAGTTCCCATGTTTGTATGAGCAAGCCAGTGCTCTCAGGATGCTAAGTTCAGCATCAAGGTTTGTGTGGTATTTACTCAGTGTCAGATCCCCCAGCCTTAGGGTGACAGGGGTAGTCTAATCACAGAATAGCTTCTGCCTGAAGACCAATTACTTTGAAAACTATTGTCATCTAAATTAAAAAGTCAAACTTTCTTAGCCTGGAAGAAAACATGTAGATGTGGCATTCTTTCCTTTCTTTTTCCCTTGCTTTTTTTGAGAAACCTAGACAGGCAATTCCATCCCAGGCTTGTTTCCAAGGTCAAATTTCTCCCTCAGATTCACTGTGTCCTTCTCCTCACTGCTGCAAATAATTCCTTCTGGTTTAGAGCTCTGCTCTGTCATGTCCTGTGCACCACACTCATTCACCAGTCAGATTTCTCAGACTTGGCAGTTAGCTGCAACAATCATTGAACCTTTCTGTGGCAACCTCAGCAGTGGGTTTACCTGCCTTTTTTAAGACACAGATCATTTCAAATTAATGCCCAAACTGCTCAGGGAACAGCCTGTTCTGTCATCTCCAGGAACTGTCTCACTACCTTTAAAATATGGCCCTTAAAATCTTTGAAGGTCCATGTACTTAATGTTTTTTACCTCTTGTGATGCCCAAGGAAATTCTGAATGACTCAGTCAATTAATATATAATTGACCTGTGTATAAAGTGGCCATAGGGCTGTCTAGCTTGGACAAGATAATCTGCCCTTTCCAGGAGAATGTAGATGGAGTGCTCTGCTACCAACTAGCTCAGCGCCACCAGGTGGCTGTCATGCTATGAGACTGCAGACAGTGGAGGTTGCTACCAGCACACGAAGGGCAGTGTTTAACATGACATTATCAAAGCACTGCCTTGGATTTTAATTGTTGAACTCCTACATGGAATTTAATGGGAATTACAACTGAATTGTAGCAGCTTGGTTTATTTTTTCATTAGTTAGCTTCAAGTTTTAATCACAGTCAAGCAGTTCTTTCCATCTGACCAAAGATGGAAGGTTTGTGTCTGCTATATTGAAGTCTAGGTATTCTCTCCTGTTTGCAGGTAGTGAGTTTGAGGCTAACACTTTAAAAGGCATTTCCAGGAAAAAAATGCTTTCTTTACCATATTTTATTTTGAAAGCTAGCTAATAAACTCATTGGGAAGCTAAGTAATACACTCTAGGACATAGTAACAAATTGAGTTTGAATTTTTAAAGATCTTAAATATATGCTGTTCATTATAGTAAGTAGAGATAGCTCTGTGTTGGCATTGTCCCAAACTTCTCTAGACAAATTATGGTTTTGGTGCTGGTTTTGTCATCTGTCTCATTCATTTTCTTTCTTCCAGGTATCACAGGGAAAGATGACCTTACTGTGGGTGCAACTACAAGTGGAAGAGTGAATTTTTACCCCTGGACAATAGACAATAAATACTATTCTGCAGATATTCACCTCTGTGTGGTACCAGACACCTTTCTTGTCACTGAAGAGGTTGCTGAATCTGTGCAAGCATTTGTTGTGTACTTCGACAGCACCACAGTAAGACTCCCCTGCTTTATTCTAGTGCTTGGTCTGGGTGATGTAATTGTCTCAGCACAGTGATAACCACAAATCATATTCTCTCCATCTTGTGCCAGCCATTCCTTTCAGACTGGTCTATTAATTGTCAGTAGATCAATGTTAATTTATGCCTGCTATCAGTGGAAACAGTTTTCTTCCCTTTTAGTATAATACTCCAGCTGGAAGAGAGGTTTGAGGGTGGAGAGATGCCACAAAGGTAGGCAGCTCCTCCCCCAGCCCACCACCTCCAGCTGTACTCCAAACTGGTACCAGTTCAGCAAGGCTGCTTTAGGATAGTCAGGAATGAGGCAGCTAACTATAAGATTCAGTGCTAGCATTTCACCCAAAATTCTTTCTACTAAGCTGGCAGCAGCAACAGCAATACTTTAGCAACACCCAGAAAGATCCTAAGGCCCCCCCAAACTGTAAATAAGTAGCTGTTTTTCACTATAGATGGGAAAGGATGCAAAGCACTTTCAACAAAGACCTTTAACCAGACATCTTGGGGCTGTCTCAGCCTGAACCAGAACAGTGGGAGTAGTTCAGCAGCCCCCATAATATCCACCTCAGTGTGGAAGATGCAGCAGCAGCACACTAAACCTGACACAGGCTGAAAGTGAAGTTCTCATGATTAGCCTTAACTAAAAATCTTTCCTAATCTACACTAAGATTGCATAATTAATATTAAACATGAAAGGAAGACTGAGGGCAGTAGGATTAACTCATCTGTGAGGGAAGTCAAGAGTCAGAAGGAAGTTGTATTCTAATCAGAAGTTGACTTATACACAAGTATCTTAAACATACTTGGTATCCATGATATATGCAGCCTAGTTTATTTCCTTACTACATTTGCTTCTAATACAATCAATGATTTAATACTGAAGTATTTGAGGATGTATTCAAAAGAACTTTTATCCTTTTTCCCCCTTTAGAAGTCTGGATTGGATAGTGTCTCCAAATGGCTTCCCCTGACAGAGGAGTGGTTACCAGAAGTCATGATCCTGGTTTGTAACAGAGTATCTGAAGATGGTATGAAACCCAGCAAAGTTCCATCCTGACTTAGTTATTAACCTTGCACAGTAATTTATTTTCTAATTAAATCAACACAGTTGTTTCTCAAAATATCTGTGGGATCCTGGGCTTGAGATCTGATTGTGAAGAGCCAGGTTCCTCTTGTAACTAGAAGCAGAAGTTGTAAGCTAGTTGTGGTTAAAACTGAACCAGGATTTTAGAAGGTTGCTGAAAATGGGCTCTGTGGATCCCATTCCCAGTATGCCAGCATGCTCTGCCAGGTACCTGAAATTCATATTGGTGGATGTTGGTGATACTCTCTGGTGAAGAATGATGACTGTTGGTTGCTGAACTGCAGTGGAAAGTACAATCTTTTTTTGTACTTTTTTGACCATTTGGACATTAAACACATTTGCTTTGGTTCTAGATGATTATCTGCAATACAACAGCAAGCTGCAAGATGCAGATACATCCCAGTAATTTAATTCAGAGTAAAACCTAGAGTAATACAAATCTTCGTTCTCTGTGGCACTTCACTTACATTTCCCTTTGAGTGTGCCCACTGCAAAGCATTTGATTTTATGGTGCTCAAAAAAAACAACAAAGGAGGAGTTTGTTTAATTAAAGGAGTTTCTGGGATCAAATCCAAGTTGAATGAAGGACCCACACCAGCTACTATGTAGTTTTTCCCTATACAATCCAGAATGAGCAAACAACTTTGAGAATAAAATGTAGCTAAAGATTCAATTGCTGATACTAGTCCCAGGTGTGTATGTTTGTGTATTTCTGTGCCCCAATTTTAGGTGTTAACAGACAGAAAGCTCAAGAATGGTGCATCAAGCATGGCTTTGAACTGGTGGAACTTAACCCTGAGGAACTGCCTGATGAAGATGGTATGCTTTAATTTTTAGACTAAGTACACCAAAATATCTTCTAAATAAAGTTATGCCCCTTGCAATTGTTTATGTGCTACATGATTACAGCATGGAATGCTCCCAGTTGGTGAGGCTTAGTATCAGCTATAAAAGGTCAGGAGGAGGAGGAGGTTATTTCCTCCAAGAAATTCTGTTTGTCTCCTCCCAAATACAGCTGCTGTTTATGTAGCACCTACATAAAAATAATATCTGCTCCTTTTTCTGGCACTAGCCCTAGGTCTGTAGTGATAGATCACGAGTATTTATACTCCAACTCTGGAAATAAATCTAAAAAAACCCCAAGAACCAGAGAGATGCACAAGGGCAGGAAAGCTGGCTTTTAAAAAATACTGGGAAAACCACTGTACATACCAAGAGATGACAGACATAATTGAAATAGTGAGATGATGGACTGAGAAGGGGAGAGTGTTAAAAACATTTTAGCATAGCACCCACTGTTACACAGGAAATCAACCAGTTTCAGAATCACTGGCTGACCAGAGCTCAACAAAATCCTATCAAGTCAGAAGAGTAATGTGTGATGTTCCACTACAGAAAAGCAACTGTGCATTTCCTGACAGCCTTATCAGCAGCAGCCTTATCACCCCTTTCTGTGGGACAAAAAAAGTGTTTACATCTTACCTCTACAGAACCAAAATGAAATAAGTGACTCTCTGTTTCCAAGCCTGAGTGGAATTAGTTCCTAATATTCACTCTATTTCAGGTTCACCAAGCACATAGCTGTCACCAAAAATAATTCAGCCTAAAGGTCTTTTAAGCTAGAACTCAAGTTTCCCCCTTGCCCCCCTTTAAAGGCTTAGATAAAAACTGTCTTGAGTAGCTCAGAACCCTCCTCCTCCCCCTGCCTGTATTTCTTTTTGGCACTTAGTTAGGCAGGGAGGCAGGGATGCACCTATTTCCAATTTGTAGAAGAAAAATTGGAAGTTGGTACCCCTCAAACTGTACCCTGCTTATGAAGTGGTTTAAAAGGAAATACTAGTAACATTAAATCAAATTATTTACCATTAGCTGGCCAAGCTATTTACTGTTTAAATAATACAAGTACTCACAGAATCACTGAGGTTGGAAGGAACCTTAAAGATCATCCCCTGCCATGAGCAGGGAACCCTACCACTAGATAAGTAATGGCAATAACAATCCAGGATGTTAATCTTCAGAATATTAAGATTTGTGTTCTTTCCTGGATTTTTTTAATACAGTCTTTGATTCACTGGAACTCCTGCACAGGAGGAGAAGTGTTCCAGTGAATACCATTTACCCCATAAACATACCATATGGATTACAAAAGATAGAATGGATACAGTAAACATACTGGGCTAGTATCTGATTAAAAATTCTGACTCCTCACAAATGAACTGGGGCTCTTGCTATGAGGACAGTGTGAGTTGTTTGTGCAGTAAGGACAAGAACTCTTGAGATGAGACTCCTGATAATGACTCTGGTACAAAACTAAACAGGGTGTCATGGAGGGCAAACTATTTGATCTCAGAGGTCACAGACAGCTTTAAGTTCATGTTTGAAAGCGGTTTTAATTACTGCACCTGTCTCTGAGTCATCCTAGAATAGTTTGATTTTGAAACAATCACATTTTTGTATCCAAAGTTTGGTTGTTTTTCTTTTCCCCTGTTGCTTTGTGAGACAAACATGGGAAGCTGACTAAACAGAGGAAATGGGAAAACTGACTTTGTACAAAGTGGTGTAACATCTATTCAGTGAAGAAGCTAAAGCCCTATTAATGCTTCCCCTGGTCTTTCCAGTTGATGTAATTCCCAGCATTACTGGAACATTAGTTTTTGAGATTGCTTTACAATGATAATTTCATTTTTAGCAAGCATCTCATTTTTTTAAATGGCTGAAGTTCTTTACTTTCCAAAGGAAGAAAAGTAATTCTAGCATCTGTGTCATACAGCCACTCTGAAAGATCTTTGGGGGAAAAGATGCCCTCCTTTTAACAGCAACTTAATTTTCTGTTCCTGTTAAATTTGCTGCTACTATTTACAGAATTACAAAGGTTGGAAGGGTACTTAAAGATCAACAGGTTCTAACCTCCCTGCTATAAGCAGGGGCACCTGTCACTACACCAGGTTGCTCAAAGCATCATCCAACCTGGTACTGAACACCTCCAGGGAGGAGGCATCAATAACCTTCCTAGGCAACCTGTTCCAGTGCCTTACTGCCCTCATAGTGAAGAATTTCTTCCTGATGTCTAACCTGAATGTACCCTCTTCCAGTTTAAAACCACTACCCCTTGTCCTGTCACTTAACAATACAGGCCTCATGCTAAATGTTCAGCAAAACCCCACTCAGAATGCAGGTCTCTCCACAAATGAGCCTACAGTGCAGGAAACCTAGAAGCCTCAGCCAGGATCTGAGACACTGATTTGGGTTTGTTTGGCCTCTCATGAAGCAGAGGCCAGAAATCAATGTTTCGTAACAAAAGCAGTAAATCTTACAGATAGCAGCAGGAGAGAGCAGGCATTCAGACATAGCTCCCTCCTTCCAGACATGTGATGGTTTTGGTGTCATTGTCAGGAGAACAATGTCTGTCTCTTCTGGTTTAGATGACTTCCCAGAGTCCACTGGAGTGAAACGAATTGTCCAAGCCCTGAATGCCAACGTGTGGTCCAATGTAGTCATGAAGAGTGGTGAGTAAAAGCTTCCTCTTTATTAGCTGGGGAGAGCACCAGGCCTACAGGCCTTGGTGGTCTGAGCAAACATTTAAACTGAGCAACTACAGCATCAGTCTGGGAAGAACTAGAGCACTCCTCAGCATTTCACACGGAATAGCAGGGGCTCAGCTGCTGCTTTCATTGGCCATAATGCACAGAGAAACTTCAAGGCAATCAGTGGGACTTATCCCTGTTTCAGCAGCTGTTCCTGCTCTCCCTGCACTTTAACCTCCTCTCTACCAACAACTTGAGTTAAATATTCCACTAATTCTCCAAATTCCAATGAAAAATGAACACTTATTCCACCAAACTCTAGCAACAAATAGCTAGTCATTACCAGAATGGCCTGAAAACTGAGGCATGGTTTGGTGTAGAAGTAGTAAGTGTGAAATACAAAATTGGTTAGGTTTTTTTAAAATAAAATAATTTGGAACAGGGATGAAAATAGCAAGTGTAGAGATGAGCTATGGCAAAGAAGTGATTTCAAGTGTCTGCTGAAGAACATATCAAGTGCATTGCAGGAAGGACTGTCTCCCCTACAGAAAACCCCACATGAGTACATGGAAACTACAGAATTTTTTGAAAACAGTACAAAAGCCAGGCAACCTCATAATTCCATGCAGATAATTGACTATCAGGTGGTTAGAGTTTTGGAAAAATCCCACTAGGGTTGGGCTCATTAGAAAAGGCAGTGCTGTGGCTGGCCCTGGATAACTGCAAGTGTACATGCTTCCATTTACTTGAAAACCTGGAATTACCTTTCTAATAACACAAGCTGTTGCAGGAAATGCAGGAACATTTCACTCCTGTGGAGGGCTTGGGATGCTTCTGCTGCCTCCTGTCACTGCAGGATGCTTTCTGGGTGTCAGCAAGCATGAGAGCTGCTAAAGCAATAATCTTAATTTTTTGTATTTAAGGTAGCCTTTTGAGTGTTTCTTAACCCACATCAGAATGAGGTCAAGCTAAGGTCTAACTGAAGGTAACCCTTGCACAGAAATAGGAGCCATCTGAGATGGTGTGATCTCCCTGGTGCTAAAACCCATTGCTGAGTAGCACATTTCCTGCCTTTGGCAGATGCCACCTTACAGAACTTAGTCACAGTTCAGTTCTTGGTGTGGGGAAACTCCTGTGCATCATTAGTGTGTTCTGTAAAGGTCAGACTCCTTGAAAATCCAGATTTTCTGTCTCCACAGTACAGAAACCACACAGCATTGATGCATGTTACTACAAACCCCTCAGGAAGTAAGCTATATTTGGAAGTTGTTGCAGCCTGAGTGCCTTCAAAGGGAAACTGTTGAGCTCATTTTACTTAAAATAAACCTTTTCACAACCTGTAAAGTATCTTTTGTTTTCCACTTCCTCCTGATCCTGCAGACTGGCAGCCATGTAAATCCAGCTCCAGGTTTCCTCCTGAATGCCTTGTGACTGCTGGCCATTCAGAAACCATGCACTCAAAATTCATAGGAAGATTTTTCATGGAGTACAGGATACTTCTGTAGTACTAAAAGCTTCTGGCACTGAAGTGTAACTGTCCACATCCACCCCATGTTACAGCCTTACTTCAGCTATCTCTGTGTATGAGCATTTAACTTCACAGGCAGAGCATGAGTGACTTTTTTCAAGTACAGGCATTAAACCTGTTATTTGTGGATATTTTAAACCTAAGCACAATTCTTAAGTAGTTTTTCACACCCCCATTGAGAAAATTCTTGAGCTTTTGATTTTTTTTTCTAATCATTAAATACATTCATTCTCACATCAGTTCATGAAAATAAATAATAAATATTGCCTAAATGAATTATAAATATCAAACAATACTACATGCTTTGTGAGTAAATAAAGCAGCATTGCCTCTACTGAAAGAAAACCCAGCAGTCTTACCTGAGAGTCTTCAGGGAGCAATTCCCTTCTGCAGTTGGCAAAGAGCTGGTGGTTCTTCAGGCCTCAGAGCTCCCACCAGTCTGAGAATCAGGTGGGTTTTGTGCAAAAGAGAAGTCATTCTTCAGCTAACATCTTCCTCCCATCAAGGTGGGGCCGAGCCATTGTCCTCAGCTCCCCCCTTCAAAAGCAGAACCAGCTCACCAAGGTAGTGAGAAGAGAAACAACTTCCTGCTCTCTAGAATCAGCTGCTTGACTCCTCTCCTGCTTAAATCCCTGCTCAGTGATCCCAGCTGAAGCTGGTTACCTAGGGTGGGGCCAGGAATTGGCTCCATTTACAAACAATTAGCCTGATTTACAGCGACTGTTTAAACTGAGTTATTTAAACAAATTAAGAAGTTTTACTTTTTCATTCCAATTTTATATGGAAGTCAGGTTAACCATGTGGCTGCTAGAGACAGATTAGAGAAGAATAGTAGATAAAGGCAGAGAAAATGAACACATATAAAAATAACTATATATATATAAATAACTATATATATATATATATTCTGAAACACTGCTCAGAGCAGTGTGCTGGAGATCCACAGCTACTGATGAGTGACATCTGATAAAAGCCATCATCATCGTCATGGAGCCACTAACTGCTACAATGAGTGAGGCATTTTTTGGCCTTGGTGCTGTAAGAACCCTGTGCAGGGCATCAGCCATGTCCTGTCTTGCTCCCAGAAGCTGAAATAAGTTTTACATTCAATACAGAGTTTATAGAAAGGCTTTTTTCATGGGTGTGCCTGCAAGTGTTACATCTGCCACCTCCGTAATCATGGATCCAGACAGAAATAGCTGCTTTTCAGAGATCCCTGCTGGAGGGTCCAGGTCTTTCTAGCTGGGACAACAGTTTGTAATTATTAGGCTGGCTGAGGTGATGTGTTTGTGCTGGTGATGGGGATGGAGCCACTCTGTTCTGTACAGGGTGAACTAACATCCTAGATCTGAAAGAGGTGCATGGTGAGGTCACTTCATCCACTCCTCTGCCAACGTGGGAATGTTCTTTCTCAAGTACATTCTGGACTGCAATGTCCAATCTTGCTTCAGATGACTCAGAAATTGGCTAAGTGTCCATCTCTACAGTCTCCCTAAAACCAGCTCTGAATCTTGGGGAAGCTGCTTTGCTTTGGGTTGCAAGTCTTTTCTCACCTAATTACCTGTTAATTTAGCTGGCCAACTCCCTGGGCTGCCAAGTCACTTGCAGGTGAACATTTTTAAGGCCGTTCATTTGGCTGGACTGCTTGACTTCTTCCCAGCCCCTTGGTGAGGGATCTGTTAAAGCACTAGAACTGTATCAATCACAGAATCCTAGGGGTTGGAAGGGCCCTGGAAGGATCATCCAGTCCAACCCCCCTGCCAGAGCAGGGGCACCCAGAGCACATCACACAGAACCGTGTCCAGGCAGGTTTGAATGTCTCCAGTGAAGGAGCCTCCACAGCCTCTCTGGGCAGCCTGTTCCAGTGCTCTGTCACTCTCACAGGAAAGAAGTTTTTTCTGATGTTTATGTGGAACCTCCTGTGTCCCTCTTTGCCCCCACTGTCCCTTGTCCTATCACTGGACATCACTGAACAAAGCCTGGTTCTGTCCTCCTGACACTCACCCTCAACATATTTGTAAACACTGATGAGGTCGCTCCTCGGTCTCCTCCAAGCTCAAGACACCCAGCTCCCTCAGCCTTTCCTCATCAGGGAGATGTTCCACTCCGTCATCTTTGTGGCTCTGAGCTAGACTCTTTCAAGTAGTTCCCTGTCCTTCTTGAACCGAGGGGCCCAGAACTGGACATAATATTCCAGATGCACAAAGGCAGAACAGAGGGGGAGGAGAACCTCCCCTGACCTACTAACCACACCCTTTCTAATGCACCCCAGAAGGCCATTGGCTTTCTTGGCCACAAGGGCACATTGCTGGCTCATGGTCATCCTCCTGTCCACCAGGACCCCCAGGTCCCTTTCTCCTACCCTGCCCTCTAGCAGGTCAGTCCCCAGCCTGTACTGGTACATGGGGTTGTTCTTCCCCAGATGTAATCAGAGTCAGTTGCAAGAAATCCCTGCTGGGGGGAGCACCAGGGGAGAAGAGGACTGGGAAAGGACACACGTTGGCCCAAGGACACGGTGGAGACTCTTAAACAGGAAATGAAGTCTTCGCAGTGCTCTCTAATGGAGATGTGTTTACATGTTTTCTAGAGAGCTGATGGTTTGAGTTACAGATTCAACTCTTCAAAATGAAATTTTGTATAAATGGCAAAGTTGGGCAGTGCATAAAAATGACATCATCTCAGCATCTGAGTCTGAAGTTTAGTCATTAGTGTAGTATTAATTGAAAACACATTTGTTTAAAACAGTAATCTTAATATTTGTGTAACTGCAAGTATTGACTACTCAGTGCAATGCCAGATGAAAACATGGCTTAGAAAAACAACCACCTCATAATATCACCTGTTATACATATATTTGTATTTTTAATATAAAGTTAAAAAAAATACTGCTAGTTTAATTTAAAAATACTGCACTGCCTCTGATATCTTAGATGATTAATTTTAGGTTTGAATGAGCTTTTTTTTCAGTTGAATTTTAAAAATGCCATTGAAACACACAGTAGGTTGGCAGCTGTGGGAAGCCCAAAGCACCTTTTAGTGTGAAGACACGTTGGATTTGATGTCTGGGTCCTTCCATTAATTCTGAATTAGCAATCACCACCCTCATAGTGAAGAATTTCCTCCTAATGTCTCACCTAAATCTCCCCTCTTCAAGTTTTAATCCATTCCCCCTCATCCCATCACTCCCTGCCCTTGTCCCAAGTCCCTCCCCAGTTTTCCTGGAGCCCCTTCAGGCACTGGAAGGTGCTCTAAGGTCTCCCTGGAGCCTTTTCTCCAGGCTGAGCAACACACCTGCTTAAATATATTTTCAAGTACCCTGACACAGTTTTGCAGAGTGCTTTGTGTCTCCCCTGAAATAGTCTCAATCCCATCTGATTAATTACAACTATTTGTAATAATCTTGCACCTTCTATCAAACTAACAGCTGGTTTGTTTTCAGACAGGACCCAGGGCTTTGGTCTTCTCAGTACATTAGCAGGTGCCAACTGTAGCATTGGGTCAGAAGAGAGCCAAGACACAGAAGTAAACAGTAATTTTATCTATAATATATATTGTTTATAATAATATTTACTGATCTTTGCTCATGCTGGTTCTTGTGTTGCTTCTTCCTTGGGGAGGGGGCTTTCCTCTTTTCCTCCTTTCTCAAGAGGTGCTTCACAGCCTGCTGGGATGTGTTTTAAAGGAAACATTTCTGAGGTCTGAAAAATTCTCTGCGTGTTTCTTACAAGTGCCCCTGAGACAGCTGTTCCCAGGAGCTGGCAGCTCCTGGCTGGGAGCTTGCTGGTTTCCAGGACCTGGCCTCAGAACTCCTCACTTTCCCTGGAGGTGTCTGGCTGTGTGCCCAGTGGTGGGGCCTGAGCCCACTGACTTCCTCACTGTGGGAAGGTCTGACCTCAGACAACCCACTGGATCCAAGGAGAGATTACTAAAAGCTCCCCTCAGTGTGTGGGTTTTCATTAACAGCCAAGAGCAGGAGTTTATGCAAAACAACAACTATCACTTGATGGTGTTATTTAAAAACCAGTAACAAACCCATCACAGAAACCCCTCACGTGGCACCTGGGCACAGTCTTGCAAAAGTGGCTTTTCATAACACCCGTGGTGCGGGTTCTGCAGAAAATGGCAGTTTCTGATAAAGAGATTTTCTGAGTCAAAACAAGAAGCACCTGATTTGCTGATGACGCTTTTTAGGTGCATTATTGGGTACTAATACCTGCTTGTTTCCTGACAGTCCAATCCAGCAGCAGCAGACAGTGAAGAATCCCACTCAGACAGCAGAGAAGGTGGAGCTAGCACAGAAAACCAGCAGGTGGACAACACTGCAGGTAAGCTCTTTCTCTGCTGGGCAGATCCCTGGCTGGGGGGGTCCCAGAAAGCCACTGGCTTCTTATCAAGGAAAAGTGTGGGCTAAATGCACTTGCCAGAGCCAGTAGAGGTTAATTGTTTAGACTTGAGGTGTTCTCCTTCCTGGAAAAATTAGCCCAGGTTTGGAAAGGACAGAGCCCCTGCAGTGCTACCAGCTGGAAACTCTGATTGATGACGTTCCCTGCTCTATTGTGTGGATCTAGAAACATCTTTATCAGAATAAATTGCAGAGAAAAATCCCTCCAGTTTGGCCCAGCAGGAGGGGGATGAAGTGACTCTACTTGGGTCAGTCCCAAGAGCTTCAAGTGTTTTAAGCTACAGGTCCTTAAATAATTGCACCATTCCAGGAGATGGGACTTTTTTACAAGCTGTAGGGGCAGACCCAAAGGCTGGGTGGTGGTAGTTGTGGTCTGAGCTTAAGTCTTGTTACTCTTTCATTTACTCTGTGGCTGTTCCTGACAAATCATTTTCTAATAATCAAGAAACCTTAAATACTGGATGAACTCAAAGCCACTCTTGCAATGCAGCCTGTCAAAGTTCACCACCAGTGACAGGATGCCAGGAGTTGTCTCTGAACAGTCAGGACATTCTTTCCCTCATGTGGGTGAAGGGGGGGGGGCTTTGCAAACAGGCTATGCAGATGTTGCTGTCAGAAAGGCTTTCCTAGCTGCTGACAGAGCAGGGATTTACCTTAGCTGAGCTGGATGCACTGCTTTCAGACCCTGTTTTGGACATGGACATCCAGGAGTTGGCCAACCTCACTACCAGAGACAGCGACCTGGAGAGCTTCGAACGGCTCTTCTCAAAGCTGAAGGAAATGAAAGGTAATGCCCCAGAGAGGCACACTGAGCTGTGTCACCTCCTCTTGTCACGTGAAAGCCAGCGTGTGAGCTGAAAAGACTGTACAATCCCTGTTCTCCTGCCTGAGATTCTTCATAAGTAGCTCATCCTTTCATTCATTTGCCCTTCATCTTGATAGTGCTCTTGAAAGCAGCAGCTGGTGCTCAGCTGGCTGCTGCCGTGCTGTCTGTGAGCTAATGCTGCATTTGTCTGCAAACCCACAACAAGACTTGTTTGGCTTCTTTTGAGCTCTACAACCATGTGCCAGCCTTGCAGCTTAAAGCTACAGATGTGTGAGGTGAAATCTAGTGTGCTCAGAAGCATCAGGTGTTTGGGAGTTGACAGTCACTCTCACTAAATAAGATTCATTTTTTATGACCTTAAACTTGTTTCTGGGTAGCCCCCTCACACCAGCTGCAGTGGGCATTGCTCTCCCTGCTCACTCCTGAGTGTGACAACCTGAGTCCTGTTCTTTTCTACAGATAAAGCTGCAATGTTGCCTCATGAACAAAGAAAACTGCACGCAGAAAAGGTGAGTGTTTGGGACTGCATTATTTTTTTTTTCCTTTCCAAGCCATAGTTACTTCTCTTGTAGAGTTCCTGTCTTAAGAGCACAAGAACAAACTGCACCGTCCTAGGGGAGACTGGCTGGAATCTCCCAGGGACTGAGTAACAAACCTGGAGTTTTGAAACCCCAGAAGAGGCTTTTCCCTTTCCCAAGTTCTGCAGGGAAGGCCCTGCCATCACGCAGGGGGTAAGCCAGCTGCCACTTCAGCCCATGGAAGAGCCTTCAGCTCAAGGAATATGTAATCCTGCCTTTATTACCACAGGATTTGTGTCACATGTGCCTGCCATGAATTGCAAGTTCCTGCCTCTGTGTTGTTGAAATGTCTTGACTTCAGGGAGGATCAGCTTTGTTCTCAGATACACGGTTGCTGGATTCAGTGGCTGCTCAGTTTCTGGGTTTTGGCTGGTAAATGCAAAATCTTCAGTCATTTGAGGGGAATCTTTGTCCATTCTTAGGTGGCCAAAGCATTCTGGATGGCAATTGGGGGAGACAGGGATGAAATTGAAGGCCTCTCCTCTGATGAAGAAAACTAAGTTCTCATGTTGCTGACGGGGACAGAGCGACCCTGGAGGAGGGATCTCCAGCCAAGAGTGTGGATGGTGAAAAGCCCCATTTAGCTTTAGTTGCTTTCTTTGGTTACAGGATTCTCTGGATCATTGCAGTAAATAACACATTCCACAGCAGCTCATGGGTGGAGGGCTTTTGTCTGACTGTTCATTTATTCTCTCTCTGAGAGTTCTGGAAGGCGATTCATGCAGTTAGAGGGAATAATCATTAGTTTACATTTTTCAAATTAACATTTTTATTGTTTCCTCTTTCAAGTAAAGACATTTACTCACAGTGATCTGCCTGCAAATGGCTGGTGGCTGTGAAGTGACTACTTAATTTGAAACCCAGCGTTTTAGATGTAGGCCTCTTGGATGTTTTTATGTAGCTTTATAGCTGATTTACTAGTTAAAACAAACCAGGTTTATATGAGCCATGAAGAGAAAGTTGCTGAGTTGTGCCCTGTTGTGGGATGCTTTGCCAGGGCTGCAAGGTTCATCCTGCTGAGTGCCAAAGCTATTAAAAATGGCCCACAGGCCTGGAATTCTGTTTGCCTGGGGAAGTATGTGGTCCTTCCCAAGAAAGGCAGATGTTTTGTGCCACACTCCTTTGGGCTTCTGTTAGAAACTAAATTTGGAATTAAATGCAAGACGGATTGTGCTGCTGTTCCAGGGGTGAAGTCCTTCCTCTGAGGCCCAGCAGAACACCCAGACCTTCTGCTGGTGGATTCTGTCCTAAGCAAAGGGAAAAGCTACAACGTCAAAAAAACCCCCACCCTGCCACCTGGTGCATTTGGTACAGACTTGTCCTCCTGTGTGTTCATGAGAAGGCACCAGAGGGCAAGTTTCAAACTCCTGCTTCATGGAATTAAGGTATAGAAAAAAAAATTCCTTTGTCCTTAGGTTTGGTGTCTTGTTATCTCCTGCACAGGCAGCACAGGCAGACTCTGGAGAGTGTAAACATGCAAGGCACTAGGAAGGCAAGAAGGAACAGGCTGGTGAAGGAGAGAAGGCAAATAATTGAACTAGCAAATTGTTTTGGTTGGGAAAGGCCTTGAAGATCATCCATTCTGATTGTTCCCCCAGCCCTGCCAAGGCCACCACTGCCCCATGTCCCTCAGCACATCTACAGGGCTTTGAAATCCCTCCAGGGATGGGGACTGCACCACTGCCCTGGGCAGCCTGGGCCAGGGCCTGACAGCCCTTTGGGGAAGGAATTGTTCCCCAGATCCAACTTAACCCTCCCCTAACACAACTTGTGGCCCTCTCCTCTCATCCTGTCCCTGATCTGCTGTGGCCACAGGTGCCCCACGTGTGTTTCCCCCAGAGCATTTCCTTATCAATCTGAAAACAGGCCCTGTTAAGCAGCCTTACTTAGAAATTTGAAATTAACATTTCCAATGTCTGGGGTTTTTTTGTGTCAATAAATGTCATGAGTCTGGAGACAGTGGCTTTCCATATGTTATTTGACAACTTTAAATTCTGAGAGCACTTTCACAGAGGTTCTTGACGTGCATCGCCTCTTCCATTAAGATGAAGCTGAACTATTGGGCTGCTTGGGGTGCTGTAAACCATTTCCTGGGTAAAAACTGCAGTGTTAAGAGATGGAACTGAAGCTTTGGTGCTAGTTTGAAAAGCATTTCTCATACAAAGACCGAGCAGCAGCTCCATCATAATAAAATACCTGTTTTTAAGAAGAAAAGGAGCCACACTTGGGGCCACCTCCTCCTATCGATGGAGAAGCTGCTGGGCTTGCCATGACTTTGCCATCCCTTGTCTTTCTCTTCCCCTTTTTCACCAGCACAATGAGCTGTGATAAAGAACTTGGTTCCTTCCAAGTAGGGAACAGTTTTCCATGTTTGCTTCTTGGTAGCTGAAAAATTTTTTCCCTTTCTAAATATTTGTTGTGAAACAGCCATAAATGGCAAAGTGCAGAGTGGACTAAAGGCATAAAGTGAAAAGCATCATGCACTTAAATATCTTTATGAAGCATTTTATTTAGACATGATAGTCGTGTGACAGTTGATCCAAATGTAATGAAATTAAACAAATTAAAATCAAGTTCTTTCCTGCCTTTTTACAAAGCAGCAGCAGCTTAATTCCCACAAATGGTGCCTTATCCTGGGAACCAGGATTAACCAGTGGGGAAACACATTTCTCCAGCCTGCTGCAAATAGGAGAAAAATGCTTGTATTACAGGAAATACATCCTGGAAAGAAGGACAGCTCCTGGTGTAGACAGTGAGAAGTCTTTGGTTTTGCACCTTGTGACAGTTCGGAATCTGGTTCTTTCCCTGGCACTTGTTCTCCAGTGCTGAACAGGAACAGCTCTGCAGTGACCTTAATGTGCTATGGCTGGATGTAGCAGCTTCTCCGTAAAGGTGGTCACAGGAGCATCTACATCCACAGTAAATTAATTTTAAGGCACAATTCTGAAGGAAATTCTGGGGATGCTTCAGTGAAGATGGGAAGTGTCAGTTTCTGGCAGTGGTCTGTGCAAAAAAGTTCAAAGGAAAGTGATTCAATCTACACTGGCAAAGAGCACCTAAAAAAGGGTTCCAGCAAATGCTCCAAAGACCTTCAAACTGAACAGAAGTGAAGAAATGGCAATTCCAGTGCTTGCTGTGGGACAATGATCCCTGAACCTCAGGAAAACACTGCAGCCAGCTGAGCTGCCAAGGCTCCATCAGTTCCTACCCTGCTCATCTTGTTACCTGTGTCAGATGGTCTGTACAGCTGCTGTGCCTAAGCCCTGTTCAGTTTGCATTTCTTTTTGTGATTCAACTGTTTGTTAGGACCTTATAAATACAATAAACCCAGTGTGAAATTAAAGAGACCATCTCCATGGATGCCACAGATTCCACTTCCAGTGCCAGCTGAAGGCTGCAGAAATGTTGTGTTCCATTGATTATGAAAAGGAGAACGTGTCACTTGTGCACAGCACCAGAAACGTGTCTCTCAAACTAAAATGCTTTCCTCCCCTGGTGTTTGGGACTTGTGGAGTCTTTGCCCTAACCCCCCATAATTAGTAAATTATAGCAAAAACAAACCAACACCAAAAAATAACAAAAAGCCTTCTGTACAGAACCTCCAATTTCAAGGGTAAAGTCAGGGAAACCTCCAATAAATGTTGGTTCATTCTATTTCTTTTTTTTTTTAGCTGAAGCTTTGAGGTTTTTCCTGCTGCAACCTGTGTTTTGCCTCAGCTTCCCATGTGCAGGTGAGAAGGCTGTGACACTGAAATCCCCAATACATTTCAGGTGACAAGGAGCAGAACTCGTGGCCCAGAGCTGATTTACTGCCTCCCACTGCAGTTCTGGCAACCCCAGCACAAAACCTGGACGAGACCCTTTTATTACCACATTGTTGGAAAACCGAGTGGAAAAAGTGTTCTCGTAAATCCTGAGGCAGGAAAAACAACAAAAAAAAAATAAAATTAAAATCTGCCTTTCAGTGAAACCCTAGGAGGAACGTTGGGAGGTCTCAGCATGAGCTCATAGCTCATGCCTTGGCTGGGTCCTGTTGTTTGCAGTGCCCTCCCAGCCCAGCTGCACACCAGCACGGATGGGTTTTGTCCCCCTCACCAGCACAGCACCTGAGCTGACTCCTGCCTTTTGCTGGAGCAGCAGCAGCAGCACCAAGAGAGACCTTGGACTCGAGAAACCCGTTCCAACGAGGGGCAAAAGCCAAAAATGCTGCCTGGGATTTAAGACTGGAAAACTTCACCACAAGGAACACAATGCAGCCATGGAATAGCTTCTCTGGGGAGGAGGTGGATAGAGTCTCTTGAGCTCTAAGATTTTTCTTCAAGACTTAGCTGGACAAAAGCCCAGCTGACCTGATCTGGTGTTGGCAACAGTCTGGGATAAAGCATGAGGTTGGACTGGAGACCTCCAGTAGTCTCTTCCAACCATCATCCCATACCTGATGAAGCAGTGTAGTCCTGGTTTCCAGTAAGGTGACACACGGGTTGGATGAAGGCTCCTGAGCTAGACCAGGACACGTGCCATTCCAAGAGCATTAACACCTCATCACCAGGGCACTAGGGACACATGGATGTCCCTCCATATGCCTCCCTCTTTCCTGCAGGAGTGAACAACTGACAGCCTGAAAAAAGTTACTTCAGCACAGGACTTAAGACACAATTCCTCAACATGGAAAGACCAAAGGTGTCTTAGGGGCTGCCACATGACAGGACACTGAGGAGAGAGCAGTAAATACTCCATTGCTGCTCCAACACTCCTGATGATGGAGGTCCCTGATCCACAGCCACGGGGTGCAAGTGCAGCCACAGTTCAGTGTGCTGGGCATGCAGTGAATGTTTAGCCCCATCTGACTTTTCCAGCAATTTGACAATAATTAATGTTGGGCACAGTGCTCTAAAGCCTCCTAGTTAAAAGAATTAGTTGCAATTTTAAAGTTATGTTTATATCTGGTTTTAAATTCTTGAACAAAACTGCCCAAATTGGACAAAGAATGAAGATCTTACCTGTAACTGAGATCCTGTGAGAGTTACTGGGACCAACCTTCATACACACCTGAAGGTGCTGATGTCTCTGAGTTACCTGGGGTTTCAAAACTCCAGATGCTTTCAGGTTGTGTCCTTAAATACCTGTTTACAATATCCTTATTTTCTCATGAGCCTTAGTTTTCAAATCAAAGTTTATTAAATTGTCAAAAATAGAACTTACAGTTTCACATATGAAAGAGGCATACACAGCACAGCCCTTAGTAACAAAATAATGGATCATGCTTAACAAGCTAACGCAGGGAGGTGACATCTAACATACAATCTCAGGTTAAGAAACATCTAAACACTAATGCAAACATGCTCATCCTTGTCTATCAAAGGGGGAACAGTTCAGTCGAGTGTGAGGAAAGCAGCTGCCTCCCCTGGGAGAGGGAACCAGATGCATCTCAGCAGCAGAGACTGGTGCAGACCCCTCCAGTATCCACAGCCCGGAGGAAACGCAAGACAAACCAAAACATTTATGGAAGGAGAGGATATTGTCTTTTTAAAGCCTCATAAATCTGAAAAGACCTGAAGAGCACAACAACTGGGAACGTGAGGTGCTGCTAAAAGCATCAAACAGCAACGCAGGGAAAGGCTCCTGCTGCACAAGCCCTTGTGGGGTTTGATTGGCCAGGGTTTGCTGCTCAGCTCTGAGAAGAGTCTCTCCTCACATCAGTAACTGCCTGACTTCTAGCAATCCCCAGAAAGGAAGATAAGATTTAATAACTCTGAATCCTTAATTGTCCTTTCTGGTCAAAATTAAATATTTGATTCATCTAAATATTCCAGAAAGACAACATAAATACAAAGCATGTACATAATAAAAAACATATATTGAATTTCTTAACCATACTGCTCCATCAGCTACTAAATAGTGACTATTGCTCAGTCTAGCTTACCAGCTTATTTGTGGAATTCCATTCCTCCTACCTATCCAGTACCTTAGAGAACTAGGAAGGCTGACAGATGTTGTGTGAAATGGCTGAAGTCCTTCACTGAGCTGCCTTCTTCTTGCTCCTTGTGCTTTTCCAGTTAGGAAACAGCACAAGGCACCGATGTCCTGAATGTTCTTCACCCTGCAAAGGAGCCCTCTGCATGGTTCCAACTGCTGGTCCTTAAGGGGGGAGGAAATTAATTTGTTCTCCTCTTTTCTCAGATGTTACCCTGAGCCTTTTCATGGCACAAATGGGGAGCCACAGCTTTTGGGGAAATGTGTTACTGTCAGGTTTCTCCATCTTTGTACATCCACATGGTGATTCCTGGTGATTAAATCAAATGGGCAGCACTGGATCACATCTCTAGACAAGCTCAACACAAAATACGAACTGCAATTCAGTTCAATACATTAATAATAATAATTAAAAAAAAAAAAAAATCACCACAGTCATTTTAAACCACAAGGCCATCAATATCATCTGCCAGCAGCCAGGCACTTGTGTATGGCTACACCAAATAAAAAGAGTCAAAGTTCCTGCTAGTGACTCTCTACTAGTAACAAAAATGTATGAAATCCTGGCCAAACCAGCCAAGCCTCCCAGGACATGAGAAGATATTCCAGCACAGGTATGTCACAGCAGCTGGGCACGGGTGCTTGCAAACATTGGTGCTACATATCAAAGCTACTTCAGTCAAACTTCAGAGGAGAGCAGAAGCAGGCAGGGGCAGCCCTGGGGCACAGCTGCCTCCAGCCACCCTGCCCCCTTTCTGTAGTGTCCAGGTGAGTGGCAGCTGAGCAGGTGGCAGAGCTGACAGGGAAGAGTGCTCACCTGTACAGCAGCCCAGGAAACAGCCCTGAGGGCCCTGGGGTCACAGCCCTTCCCCACCTCCATCTTCCCAGTGTCACAGGGCAGGGGACTTTGATGTGAGAAGGCAGCTACAGAAACCAGAAAGGTTTTATGAGTTAGTGAGAAGGCAAACAAAGGGGAGGAGAGGAAATTAATACTTCAGTGGAGATAATCTCAACTGTATCTAACTGTGCTGCTGGACCAGCTTGTGTTTTCCATTTGAAGTCCTTTTACTTAAGGGATGGTGAGGTGAGATGAACCAAAGTTTTCATGCATGACCTGGAGCCTGAGTTTCAGAGGCCCCTGTTAACAACAGCTCACAATCCATGATCCCTTAGCAAGCACAAGATATAAATCTGGTTCCCAGCAGAAATCCAGATCCAGTTCTTAGTCTGGCCATTCTGTGTGCAAGTTGATATTAAAGTCAGGGTTGTACCCTCTGGGTCAAGCCAGGTCCCTGCCACACCAATACCTGAAATGAACTCTGACATTGGAATTTAAGATGCCATTTCTGTTGCTGATTCTTAAGGCACCAGAGTCCAACCTCCTCCACAAATATGTGGACAATGAAAACAGTTTGTTCACTAAATTAAGCAAATATGACTTAAAGACACTAAGGGAGGAAACCTGGCGTTGTTTTTTCCCCCCTCTCTCTCTACAACAGCAACTCATACTTCCACAAAAGTCAGGATAACTTTGTTTGCAACTATGTTAGAAACCTGTCTCTGAAATACATGCCAAACCAACCCCAGGGACAGACCTGCTTTGTCAGTGGCTAGAAAAGCTGAGTTATACAAATGCTCTTACTGCACAAGTGTGTGCAGAGATTTAACTAGTCAGACATGTTGCAAAAATTAAACTAAACAGCTCCTAGAAAACCTGCAATGCTATGATACAAGCTTCTGCACAGTGAAAGCTCCAGTCAAAATTCTGCAAGAGGATATTCCAAAATGCCTGTATCCTCAGGAGCACACCCATCCCTGAAAATCTTCCCTGGAATTTAAATTTCATCTACAATTTCTTGCTTCTGGAAGAAAACTTCTAAAGCAGCCCTTAATTTGCCTGATATAAACCAGCAGTGATCCTCTTGGATCATCTGTTCCTGTGTCCACCAACCCAGGGGCACCTTGTGCCCTGTCTTGCTGATGCCTCAGGTCCAAAAGTGTTGGTTTGTTGGTGGGGTTGATAACCAGAGGTCTCAAAGGAACAGGCACAATGGAAAAGCCTCTGGAAATTACTGTGAGCGTTTGAAATGCTGTTACCAGTTGGTGCCCCATGATGGGACCAGGGCTCTGCTAACCTTGACCCAGAAGGTTTGGAGAGACAGAAGGCAGGAGAACTACTGACCTCAGAGGAGCCACTCACTTTGCATCGGGGAGAACAAAGATCTGCAGGACTAAAGCCTGAACACAAACCATCCTAAGTCTGGTCTGCCCTGAGCTTGTATCTCTTTTGTATATGAAAAAAAAGAAAATATTTCCATAGGAAAGTGATGATCATTTTCTCCCTTCCCCTTCTAACATTTTGGCACAAATGCACATGACAGCACAAGATATAAAGAAGCAGATAATTGGATAGCACTGACGAAGTTATGAGGCTTATTTGGCAAATTTGAACCATAAAAACAAGTGCTAAGGGTTTTTTCCAGTTGTGGAAGTTGTTTGCCATGACAGTTGCTGCAGGGAAAAAAAAAATATTAAACAGTCTGGAGCATGTATATTTAAAGTGAACATTTTATAATACAAGTAAATACACACTCTCCCAATTTCTCCAGGCAAAACCACATCTCAGAGCATTTTAATGAGCTAAGCTTTAAACAGGGGTTTTGTGTCTGAGATGTCTTGGTTCAGTCACACATGACAGCATGGGATGAGAATTTGTTAAATTGCATATTCTGAAAATGGCAGCACAGCCTGTTCATCCCTAGGGCAGCCCTGGACATGGAATTCACTGAGCCCCTTCCCAGGTGGCAGACACCATCCCACATACTGAGAAAACAGAAGACAAACCTTCTGTAGCTGATGCAAAGAGACAATAACCAAGGCTTCAAGTCCCCAGCCACAGCCCCCCAGTGACCAGTGTCTCTCCGTGAGCAGCTCAAGCCAGAAGTGGCTGCAGCAAGATCAGGAGAAGCCTGAAGTTGGACCTTTTGCTTCATGTCAGTCCAGTCTGAGACCATCAGCTGCATCCCTCACACATGGAAAGCAGGACTCTACCTCCTTGTTCGTAGTCCAGCATGGCAAATTCCTTCCTTTTGGAAATATTCCTGGGAGAATTAGTTCCTATCTGTGCTTTAAATGCTTTTCTCCCTCCTGCTGCACTCCTGGGGAGGGCAGGTGTGGATCAGGCAGGTGCCCCATGAGCAAGAGTCATCCCGAAGTCTCACAGCGTTGGGCTTTCCAGAGGGACTGCAGGGCAGGAGCCTGGAGCTGTGTGAGGCCAAGGACCAGTTCCCTCCCAGCTCCTGGGTGCTCCCAGCAGCTCGGAGCACCAGGCAGGCACAGCTCTGGCTTCTCTCCACTGAGACCAAGTCCAGGGTTGGTTTTACTATCATCATCAACTTCAGCTTCAAATTCAAACTGCAGTGGCCCGTAGCATTGTAACCAAAGTGCCAACAGCTTCACTGGAAGTGGCTTAAATGGGTCTTGAGTTTAAAACCAAAACAAAGAAAACCCACGTTGAGGTTTTTTTAGATATTTTTTTTCTTCATCGCTTCAGTAACCAGGGATTAGTTGCCTATGAACTATGCTTTTTCCTAAGGGATAAGCCAATTCCATTTTCCAGAGTCTTTGTTCAACCCCCCCCCACCCTCAGGAGAGGTTTCCTTAGGAGACACTGGAGCAACGAATACTGGGGGAGCCCATCTGTGTGAGGACCTTGTCCAGCCACTGCAAGGGGCCGTTGAGGTGCAGTTCGATCCAGCAGGGAGTGCTGGTCACAGTCTGACGCCTGCGGGGAGGAAAGGGGGTGGGGGGAGAGGGGAAAAAAAGAACATCAATGTGACTTACAAAACTTTACAAATGTGAAAAGGTTTTACAGCTACTGAAGCATTCTTTCCTGCTTAGACAATAGTCTTGCATGTGGGGCCAAAGGAATGTCTCTCCCCTCTGTAACAAGCTTCTGGCCTATGTTGCCAGCTCCTTTTAAAAACCCTACCTTTTCTCTTTACATTTCTTATTATTCCAAAGGAGCAACTCAGTATATAACCTATTTACTACTTAGATTCCTGAAAACAGGCAGCATCCAATTCCCTGAAGAGAAAGGAAGGTGTTGCAGCAAAATTCTTGTTTGATTTTGCAGACCTTGCCTCTACTAATTAAACAGCAGCATAAGGGGTTTACCAAATATGTTACATTTCTCTGTGTACAAGACCAAGACATTGTCTTTTTGTGATACCTTTAGGTTTTAGCAGAATGGGGAAGCAGTGGAGGGAGATCACTGGTCAGCCATTCAGACTCCCTCCTTGTGCAGCCAGAGCTGCCTCTGAGTATCCTTGTCACACAGCTTGGGAAGGTGGGCTGAGGGTTTGGAGCCTACACTACGCATAGCATTGCGGAATCACAGCAAATGCTTTGGGTTGGAAGGGACCTGAAAAGATCAGTTAGTTCTAACCTCCCTGCATGGGCAGGGATGCATTTGATCAGTTGCCTCAAAAGAAGGAGCAATTCTGCAGGGTGCAAAAAGTGGCAAAACCTGTCAGAAAAGCAGAATCGGGGTGTGAAACCACGTGCTTTAAAATCCTTCAAGAGTTGGTGGCAGCCAGAGAGCAGAGGGGGATGCCTCACTGGGTCAGCACTCATCATGCTTTTATCCTCCCCTGCTACAAAGCACCTTCCCCCTCTGCTATTCTCCCTGAGGCCAGAACCCACGGAGTGTCTCCAGATAGAAAAGCAGGAAGAGAAGAAAGGAAGGGAAGGGAGGCCAAGGCACAGGGAAAGGGGCTCTCCCTCCTCTGCCAAGGGATGGCAGGAGTCTTGTTCCAGGCAGAGGCAGGGACAGCTGCTGTGGAGGAGGAGGATTATGAAGAGAGAGAAATAGCCTGGAAACAGCCTTGGTTTACACCCTCATTTCCCACAGAAGCTGCCCTTGGAATCTGTTTGCGGGAGGGAGAAGCCAAAGTCTGCAGGGCCTAGGGAGAAACCACTGCTGAAAATGGGACCCTCTGCTCTGGGAGGCTGCCCTGCACTCCCACCACCATCCCTGCCCCTCCACAGCTGGGTGGAGGAACAAGATCCCAGGGCACAGCTCTGCAAGGCTTTGGCTGAGGGCTCTAACTTGTTTATTTGATGAATCTGTGTCTCTCATCCTTCGAGCTGAGCATGGCAGCAGCTCCCTGCAGCACCCCACCCATTCCCAGCTGGGCTGTGCCTGCTGGGGGCAGCAGGGCCTCCCGTGCCCCAGGAGCAGGGCTGGTCCTACACAGTGACTGGGGGGAAGTGTTTTGTGTTAAGGGCTGTCTCAGGGCTGCTTGGGCAGGAGGACTGCAGAGCAGGGAGAGCAGAGCACCTCTCACTCTGTCAGCTTCAGTGAAACAAACAAACGTCCCAGGAAAAAATTAAGTCTGCTTTAGCTAAATAGGGAGCATTCCTCTGCTGCCTGAAACCTGGTAGCACGGAGCAGTCTGGGCAGCACTGGACACAAACCCACAGTCCGTGGGGCTGCTGCACTTCTGCCCTCTGCTAATCTAGCACAGCAAACTCCATTCTGCCTTCCCACCTGGAGAAGCAGCACATCAGCTCCAGCCTGTCAGAAAGACAAACCCTCACAGCTCTCCATGCCTTCAGCTTGCTCCCCCAGCCTCCGAGAACCTCTGTATCTCTGGCTGCTTATGCAATTGGCTTCTCCCCCCTTCTCCCCACCGAATCCCTGGCACACAACAGCACTAAACACCCCACCAATTAGACTGCTCAAAGGGCTAAGCAGCTGAACCAGGAATGTCTGGAACAGTGCTCTGGATGCAGCTCCCACAGCAACGTTTTCATATATGAATCAGTTCAATAAATAAACGTGCTCTGACAAAGGCAATCAGATGGAGTGTTTTGTGGCAAGGAAATGAAGGAGCAGCAGAGCAGCCGGGGCGCGGGCAGTCTCGGGTTTCACTGCCTACAACACTCTAATGAGATAGTTGACTTTCCGTAAGTCATGCTCATCTGGATTTCATTAGGAGCCATGGCTGTGAGCCAGGGCTGAAATGCTCTGGCCTGGGTGCAGGACAATTTCAAAACAAAATGGACTCCAAACATCTGGAGAAATGAAGAAGGCAGGAGAGTAACGTGCAGGGCCCAGGCTCCAGCTGATCTGATGGCATCTCCCCCGGCTGCTGGAGGGGAGCACAGGCAGAGCCCTGGGGCTCTGGGAGGCAGGGGCTGCCCCACACTTTCACATCAGGCCACAGATTTCAAGGGTACACGCAGTCAAGTAAAGTATTTCAAAATCACATTTGGCTTAAATCCTGGGCAGCTTTCTCTCTCATGAAACGACATTCATTTTCCAACGGGTTTCGTCTCCCCTGCCTGTAACTACTGCTCCCTGGTTGCAGTCCCTTGGCTGCTTGGGCCATTTGCTGGGTGATGCAGCACAGGCTGTGCAGTCACCCACCCTCACACTGTCTGCACTGTCCTTGTGTTGCCATAATAACCAGAGCATCAATCCCAAACATCAGACCCTACTGCATCTCATTTCTATCTTCCATATTCACTGGGAAAAACAGCAACCTTGTTTCTCCCACTGAAATCTGGTCACATTTAAGCCATTTAAGTGACAAGCACTAAGGATGAGGAGATGAAACCATAGCTTTGCAGCAACTCCAGCAGTTCTTCCAAACATAAAATTTCAAGCCAATCTGCTTTTATTTTAATTCCATTAGTCCCTGGTAAAAGAGGCATCAAACCCAACCTGTATCTATTAGAAAGTCTTCCCACTGATCTTACCCTGATGGCATAAGACATTCTTACCTTGTAGTCATAAGACATTCCAACTATCAAATATGTATCTAATTTTAAGGAAAAAAAAATAATGTAATGGTTCCTAAAAAAGGCCCTCTGGATTTATATGCTGGGCTTCAGGTAAAGTTCCCAGTTCATACAACACGGTGACCAAATACATGTTTTCTTCCATGTATATCACATGATGTATGTTTTACACAAATAGGATGGGAAAAATAAGAGAGGAGACCAACACATTCCCAACACTTACAACCTCTCTGCATTCCTAGAGACAGACTGTGCTAATTCCCCCCCCATCTCCAAAGCTGAGTAGAGCAGCTTTGCAGAGCACTGCCCTGCACAAACACACGAGTGGCAACAGCCAGCACAGCACGGGTCCTTCAGAAGGCCTGACCTGTATTCTGCTCCCCATCCCTTGACAAAGCTCATCCGAATGGTGCACATCCTGGTCAGCTGATAGACAGCTTCAAAGCCCTGGTTCACAGACTGAGCCAGGAGAGCAGCGAATTCCTGGTTGTTAAAGATCTTCAAGTTACATCCTGTGAACAAGAGAACATGACAAGAGAAGGCATTAGCTTAACGAGATGAAGAAATATGTTTCTTTCTGAGGATGGGAAGAAACTCAGGGCTGCTTTCCCATCTCCTCAGCCCATGCAATGCTGAACACAGATTGTTTAGGCACAGCATCTCAGAAAACGGAATCATGGTTACCACGTTTCCACAGCTCAGATGCTGGAAAGGAAGAAACCCACGTTACAGGCCAGGGAAGGCTGGATGCTGGTGCCCACGCAGCAGATGGCTATCTATGAGACCAGACTTGGGATCCTCCTGTGGAAGCTCCTCCTACTGCCTTTACAATAATTTCCCTCATATTGTAATTTAAAAGCCTAAATATGACCAGAACACTTAACAACAGCAATTGCTAAGGGGCCTGAAAGAAAGGAATGCACAGGCTGAAAACAGGAACTCCCTGTGTTGGATTTACATGGTGTCTGTTGGCAGAAGGAATGAGGAAGTTCTGAAGTACAACTGCTGCAGCAAGCCAGAAAGCACCAGGGTCAACAAGGCTGGCAGCAGAGCTGCTCCTGCCATCATCACCTCTTCAGTGTCACTCCCATGCACCAAAGGATTTTCCTTTAAAACTGGAGTTTTCCCCGATGTTTAGTCCCAGCTACAAGACTGAGAACCACATATCCAACTGCTTTTTGGTTCTACAGGTGAACAATAACAACATTCTTAATTGTTTAAATAAATAAATACCTACATAACTGTCAAAAAAAGTGCTGCCATGCTTGCTTCTCCCAGATAACCAGAAACAAGTGACACTCTCAAACCTGGCACACCAGGGATGCTCACTTGGAATCACATATGGGCCAAGTCTGAAAAACAACCATTTGGACTGCAATGAGTTGTGTTTTTGTGCAATCACTCTGAGCCTGCTCCCTTGGGCTGGACTCACACTGTCATCTGCCCTGGGGTCCAAATGCCTGCAGCAAAGTGTCACCAAATGCTCAGCAGCTGCAGAAACAACTGCCCAGTTTTGTGCCCATCAAGAAGCACAGCCCAAGAGCTGTGGGTCTAGCAGGGAGTTTGAAGGGAAGCTGTGTCAGGCAGGTCACAGTCTCAGGAGAGAAATAGGAAAGGTGAGAGCATCAGGGCAAGGCTGGCCATAGGGAAGGAGCTATGGCAGGGGAAGCAAAAACACTTGATGGGGATCAGGCTGCCAAGCTGTTCAGCCTTCAGGACTGGATGGGAACAGGTCTCTCCACAACTGTGCCTGGGAGGAGTGGGTACAACTTGATCTTGTCAACATGGGAATGAAGAAACTGCTGGAAACCCAGTAAGGATTTGAAGATGAGTCTGAGAAGGCAGCCAAAGACTGGCAAACGTGAGGAAAGCTGGAGTCCAAAAAATCTGCCTCAGATGAATCTACAGAGGAAATGTGGGTTGTTTATGTCTTCAGATGTTGACTCCAGCCAGGGTGGACTCTTGTAATGTGGCTGGAGCATTAAGTCATGTTTGCAACACTGGCAGCTGCTTCCTAAGCATGTGAGAAAGGAAACCCATTAAGATGGGGCAGAGCTTGGAGTACATGGATCTCTTCTCAAAAGAAACACAATCTTTGTTCAAATATTTCTAAACAGAAAAAGGTGTTTTTAAAAAAATATATACATACATCTAACTGTAAAAAATATTGCTCACTGGCTAATTTCCCTTTCAAATGGCACCCTCTTATCCCAGCTCTTTTTGCATGTATCTAAGAAAAAAGGTATTTTCTTCCTAGAAACATGCAATAAATTCTCCTGTAATCTTTCAGCTTTCTTAAGACAAACATTTGCTGTAACCAGAACAAGGTATGTGGAAATGCAACTTCCCTTGAATCAAACTAATTGACAAAGAGAAAGGGAAAGTTTTACTACAGAACAGAAAGAAAGTAAAAATTTATATCTATCATGGGTGAATCTAAATTAAGAAAAAATGATTACCTTATATTCTTTTACTTAAAAGTACAAATGCAATTATAAAGAGGCCTATCACATAAATTACAACACAATAAATGAAACACTGCATGGAACAAGTAGAGATTCTGTGCTTAGTTCTGCATAGATCCTGAAGTTCTGTCTCTTCCTATTTGCATTAATACAGTGCACAAAATGGTTGGAGGACACGCAGTAGCTTTCTTCATCATTTATGCTATAAAAATGACCTGCTTGAGTTGTCAAGTTACACAGAATCAGAGATTGTTAGAAGGGAGCTCTGGAGACCATCAAGTCCAATCCCCTGCCAGAGCAGGACCACCTAGGGCAGGTCACTTCACAACCTCTCTGGGCAGCCTGTCCCAGGGCTCTGTCACCCCCACAGTAATTAAGTTCTTCCTCGTGTTGAGGTGGAACTTCCTGTGCTCTAGTTTGCATCCACAGCCCCTTTTCCTATCACAGGGCACAACTGAAAAGAAACTGGCCCCTTCCTCTTGACATTCCCCCTTCAGATATTTATAGACATAAGAAGATGCCCTCTCACTCTTTTCTTCTCTAGACTAAACAGTCCCAGTTACTTATAACAGAGTTCAAGCTTCTGATTACCGTCAAGAGCAGAGGTCAGCAAATCCATGCCTACCTTGACAAAGTGCTCACTTTCCACCACGAGTCCCTCTGACAAAGGCTGAAGCCTGTGTGGGAGCACAGCTTGGACACTCCTCCTTACCTGGGGGGATCTTGCAGACAGTTGCTGGGTGCCAGCCGTAGCGCTGGTTGCAGTTGGGAGACTGGACGAAAATGGCGCTGTCGCTGAGGCACTCGGCAAACACCTCGCCCCCGATGTAGTACAGCCTCACTCCTCTCCCTAGGAAACACAGCACAGCTCTGCTTTAGCTCAGAGCAGCCAGCTGCAAAACCTGCAAGATGAGCTGGTGGAGACAGAGACAACCTCTGCCTTAGCCAGCTCTCAAACAGCAGGTAAAGCACAGCAAATGGCTGTGGGGACTCCTGGCAGGAAGCGCCGCACGTGCCCTGCGAGCGGGTGAAGCTGAGGAAGGCAAGAGGAACTGTTTGTGAAGGCAGAACTGCACCCTCCAGCCCCCACTGTCAATCGCAGCCTGGATGGCATAAATGTGTCACCTCAAACCTCCAAACATCCCTGTCTCTGATGCCTTCCATGTGAATGTTCTATCAGTTAACACCTGGTTTTCAACCTTCTCTGAAAGTCATCCCAGCTGGACACAACTGTTTATTTACTTAATTATTTGGAATGAAATGATAAAACATTTTCAAATCATTGCCTTTTGCTTCAGATTACATTGTATACAATGTATATGTATTTATACAGATAACAAACACATATTTCCCACAGGTGTTTACACAAACCATTAAAATCTCAGTTAATAAAGAAACGCATTTCAGGAAGACATCTCTGTTGCTCAAAGAAACACTTGCTGTGCTCTTGCATTCCTAGTTGAGCATCTCACTTTCATCCCTCCATTAGGAGCCTGCTGCATTTAGAGACTAGTTTCTGAATGTTGGTGGGTTTTTTAGGATTTGGGTTCATTTGGTGCTAGAAATTATATGAGAAACCAGTGAGGAAAGATTTTCCTGTATGAAAGTTTACTGCTTGGGAAAAGGTATAAAAGGGAGCAAAATCTGGACAAAAAGCAGGTTCATTTTTTATAGGAGTCAACAGATAATACAGCAAAACATAAGCAATTCTTCCTTCTATTAAAATAGCATAAATCTGGGATAATCTATTTAGCACAAGTTTAACTGAAAACAAAATCAAACGTTACTTTGGGTACAAGCAGGAAAAGTGGAAATTGAGATGAAAATCAAGGAAGTAAGTTCCATTTATAAAAGAACAGTAGGTTAGAAAACAAAATAGTGCAGGAGGGAAAAGGAATACTCAAGTTTATCACTAGTATCCACCCAAATACAGAAGAGTGCATTTAAATGTTTAAATGCTGTCTTTATTGCATGCAGAAATGTTAGTGCTCCTCAGGGCATGATGAAAAAATACAGTCAGTGTTCCTGTAAGGAAGATTAGCCTGCTCAACCACCATGGATATTCAGACATTGCAGTGTCCTACAAGTGACCCAGCTGCACACCGACTGGCCAAACACAAAGCACTGCATGCAGGTCCCCACCTTCCACCTTGAAAGACACTGAAACAAGGAAACAGAAATTACCAATGTGTCGTCTGGTGAGTTCCACTGCCGCGTTTCTGTTGACGTTGGACAGTAAACCAAGGCAGAAACGTTCTGAATTAGAGGGGTCAGTGAAGCCATCCACGGTCATGGAGGGCTGAGAGGCGTGGAAAGTCTCTCCCACTCGCTGGTTGAGCTCGTAGTAGGATATGGAGCACCAGAAGGCTGGCTCGCAGTAGGTGACAGGCTGCAGGTCTGCACCAAAGGAAAAGCAGAATGAATCACTGGCCCTCAGGAGGGCAAGGGGAGAAGGGAAAAAAAAAAAAGGACCCTTTGGAAGTTCTGCTTCATTCCTTCAATCACTTTAACCACCAAACCTTAATGACCTGACAGATCTTCATGGACTGCAGCTAGAAAGTGACATCACTCCTGAGGCTTTTGGCCTCAGGAACAACCACCAACAGTCAAAGATATTAGTCACCAAGCAAGTGGGGTGCCACTTAACCACTTTCATTCTGAAGGAAAACTTAAACACTAAAGTTAGCTTAGGTAAGGAGGGTAGCCAGTACCATAAAAAGGTGCATTTGGGAGTGGGGAGAAAAGGAAGAGAAAGGCTTAGAAAGGGCAGACTGCAAGACACTCAGCACCTCAGGTCCCCAGAACCCTGAGGCACCTACACCAGGCAGCCAGCAAGCCCAACCTGTGTTCCTACTGACTCTTCCTGGCACTGATGAAACCAGCAGAGTTGCCTGCAACACACACCAAACGGCACGTGATACTGGCATCATAGTGATTGAAAACTTTCTTCCAGTGCACTTGATCTCAAGTGTCAAAAGAACATCCTTTTCCCCAGGAGATGTTGGCACATCTCCTTCACTGGGGTTATGGTTTGCCTCAGCCCGTGGACCAAAGGGAAAGGACTGAGGTTCACGAGCAGACTGAGGCAGGCTCAGGAAGACAATACTTCATACACGTGAAAGGTTGAACATTGAAATGGCACTGGATGATTTATCTGCTCCCACTGAAGCCAATGAGATGTCAGCAGAAGAAGGCTCAAGTCAAAGGTTCTTGGCAATGCTGCACTCAATGGTGCCCAGTCCTGCTGCAAGCCAAGAATCTGCCAGCAGAGGAAGTGGGAAGCAGGCTGAGGGAATTGGTAAGTGCTCTGTTCCCCACGTTCAGTGCAAGAAATAAAAGCAAGAGAAGAATTCCCTCTAGTCCTCCCCCCAATTTATCACTTCATCCCCATTCAAATGATGCTTAAAAGCTGAACAGAGCAACTTCCCATCTGGCCAAAGAGTTAACACTGAGGAGCAAAATCCAGCTTTTTCCATAGTCTTTTGCCATCTGCTGCTCCTGCAAGGCTTAAGTGAATCTGGGGCTTAAGAGATCAGCTCCTCAAGAAATCAAGGACAGGTTTTTACCATCCCAGCCTCCTCTCATGCTGAAGAGAGTGTCTCTACAGAGACTTGGGAGTCATTTCTCATCTGGTACCTGCTGTTACTCTGAAATCTTTAGAAGCAGGTTGGAGCAGCTTGGCTTCAGCCAAAAGACGACCTGGTTTCCTCTCCATTATTGTATGAGTTTCCAAAGTAGCTAATAATCAGAAAAAAACACTTTGGTTTCTGCTTTGTTACAAGCTTTGCTGACAGCAAATAAAAAATTGAATAAAATTGCATCTGGGGAACTCTGTAATCCTTAACAGATCTTCAAAGTCTGTGAATTTTGGAGTTTATACCCATTCCCAGCTTCTTTCACAGTCTCCCTCTTTCCTTAATTACATCATCTGAAAGAAAAATGCTCTACCAAAAGCAAAGCTCGATGTTCCTGCTCTCCTCCACACTACACCCACAAAAGGAAAAGCTTATCTTCCTCTTAGGGAAAAGGACATAATGCTCCAAGCAAAAGCTAACAGAAGGCAGCTCAAGAGAAAAAAGGTTGCTACATCAATTTAAGAGATCTGGTAAGTAGTAAGAATCACCAGAGGAGGCTGAACACATTCAGGAGTCAGACAAGTTTACTTTGACTTTTACTGTGACTGGACACTGCCACATCAGACACATTTCTCCAGTTCCAGCTCCATGTCATCAACCAGCAGCTGTGGCCCAAGGCAGTGATCTGTACACATTGCATCTGACTCTGGGCTTCACATGCTCCAGTGCAATTAACAGAGAGATCCAGCAAATACCAACACTAATCAGTCCCTTAAGGTGTGTCACCCATGTTAAGAAAACAGACTGTGGTTCCACATGACTCTGCTTTTATTCCACAGCAAGTGCCTTTCTAATGGAAAGGCTGCTCAGCGCCAGAGAAATCAAACCAACTGTTGTTGATCCTTAGAGTAATGTCCTCAGATTGGTGCTGCTCAAGTTAGAAAAACACTGAAGCCCGTCTTGGTCTCTCTAGTTTTGTGGTCCCTTCCTCCAGAAACCACCTCCGCTTGGTTGCGACTCAAGGGAACTGTGGATTCCCTGCTGAAGGATGGACGGAAAATTTATTTCTGGTTTATTTGCCACTTGAGGAAAGACACAAACCAACAAATCCTATTTTGAAGAAAAACTTGTCTCTAAAAAAATGCACCCAAGCTTTTCATGGTGCTGCTTTCTCCTGTGATTTGTGGTCTTGAGCTCCAGCTTAAGCTGTTATGGGATGGGTGAGTTACGTCTTGTGTTAGAGCTGTCCTGAATATTCATTTTCAGTTGATGGATTTACTGTCTGGGGAGAAGTAAGAGAAAGTAACTCTGCTAAAGCCAAAGGATCCTGAGGGAGTACACAATCAACTAAAACACAAAGCATTAATCACAAGCAAATCCTGCCTGAATTCTCTCAGTACCATTTCAGCCTTGACTCACTGTGGCTTTGCTTTCCCAAGTGCCCCTGAGTACTGGGATCCTTCTACCCGAATTGTATCTGTCCCACAAGATCAAAGTCCTATCTGTTCAGCTGTGGAGGACAAAGTATCTGTTGGCTGCTGGGCAGACTCTGCCATGTGTGCTCCAAGCATAAGAGGGGCTGTTATCCTAGGTTTCAGTTAATGTGTTTGATACACAGTTATCTCAGAAGTTGCTGACACACGTTACCCAGCTGTATTAACTCCCTCCTCAGAAAGGTACAGACAAGCAGGAGTGCCCCGCACACTCCCCCACCCCCTGGGCAGTGAGAAGGACTATCTTCTCACTGCTTTGGGCAACGGAATTTCAACACAGAGTAGCAGAGGGTTATGTTCCTGATGGATCTGACCATGGGGTATGTGCTTCTTTCACTGGCAGCTTTTGCGTCAAATCCTTTGAGGAGCAGCCCCTGACAATGGGTTTCCTGCCCTCCCAGGGCTGCCTCTCCCCACACAACAATACACACCAACCACAGGCCTGGCCCTGGGCCAGCCCAGCTCCCAGACTTCATTCCCCACGTCCACATAATGCTGGCAACTCTCCCTTCATTTTGGGTCTTTTCTCTATTTTCTCCAGATGGTTTTCCAGTAATACGGAAGAGATGAGTTGAGACCTAGAACTTCCATTTAAAGCTTATGTTTGACAACTAAAAATTTGACAACTGAAAGCTTGGACCAAAACTAGAATCCCACCAAATCAAACACACAAGCTGAAACGAGAAAAAAACCAAAATCCTAATAACTAACCTTGCAACACTTTCATGCCTTCGAATGGAAAGGTGAAATTCCCTGAGCTCCTCCAACCCCCTATTACTCCCTTCATGTTGAAATCCATACATTACACAACAAACAAACCTTGCTTCTATTGTCCTCATGCTTTGCCTCATGTTAGTTTATTGCCTTTGTAATTCTCTGGAATAGGGCCATGGGATTTAAGTCCAAAGTTCAGCTTACACAAAGTAAACTGTCTTGAAAGCTTCAGGTAGTTCTGATCAAATAAACAGCAGTACTGTAAAATTATTTTCTCAGCGGCAGAACTGCAAAACCTCACCACGTTCTGCTGCTCTTTAGAGCTTGCTGATGGTTTTCCTCATTTCGCACTGTCATGTTTTCTAAATTTCTATTCTATTTTCCTAACAAACACCCAGAGAAAGCCTGATTAAACCTCTGCAGATCAAAGTACAGCCCTAGACCCTGGAGTGTTCTGCTTATCCACAGAATTATATAGCACAGCAAGAACAGGAGCACTGCAGGCCACCAGCTACCAACTAACTTAAAGGAGAGAGAACCTTCCAAGCTGAGCTGTTCTGCTCCCAAGACCTGGGTAACCCCTTTCTGGGCTGCAGGGATCATCAGGCTGAAGGTTTTTTCACCTACAGTGCCATAAGCACTCATTACTTGAAGGTATGTCATCCACCAGGCACAGATGATGACACAATTTTGCCATCTGGCAGCTTTCAGAGCTGTGAAGCTACGTGCCATTCCATTTATTATTCTGTAGTTTCCTCACATGCAAAAATATACAATAAAATTTCTAAGAGAGACAAGAAGTTCTTAGTTTGTGGACGTTCTTGCCTAAGAGCAATAAATATTTGGCTTGCAAAACTGAAAGGTATCTTTTAATGTCGGTAAGTTAAAATGCTTTTCTGATGTCTGCTCCTTAGACTCCAAAGAGATTCCTTGTGGTTAACCAGCTTCACCTGCTCCCACTTAGCTTTTGTCACCAGTCAGTACATTAGACATCTGACAGGCCCCTCAGTTGAGCAGCATCTGCTAATAACCAGTGTCCTCGTCAGAAAGGATATGGGCTGGGGCCTCTTTCCTAGAAACTCCTTTCTTCCTTATGTGAGGCAGATGCCCCAATCAACTTGCCAGGTTGGTCTTGTTACATGTATTTCACTATTTTTATGTTGAAAAAATAAATGCTAGAAATTCTCATTAACTCCTGGGCAGCACAGTGAGCAGAATGGGTTCAAACAAAAAAAAAAGTAAATAAAAATAAGTCAGCTCTATATTTTCTTCTTAGGCTTTAACAGTTAAAGCACATAAAAATTTAGTGGCACTGTGGCAAAATACTTTTAATTTAAAAAAAAGTAAAAGAAAAAAAAAAAAGAGGAGAAAAGAAATCCCCCCTTCAACAGCCCCAAGATATCCACAAGTCAGCCAATGACTGACAAAATTTGGAGCAGTGTCAAAGTACCCTGTGCCAGGATTAAAAGCATATGTAAACTTTAGAGCTATGGTTATTCAAGAGTAATCTCAAGTGGGCTCTGTCTGCTGGCTTAATGAACACTCAGAGAACTGATCCTGCAGCTAACCAGAGCTAGGAGTGCTTTTTATGACAAACCCTTGAGAGCCATTTCAAATAGGTTAAGAGCTCAAAGTGATGAAAATCAGACCTTCTATGTCTGTAGGTATGAAAATAAAGAGCAGAATCCTTTGAGAAGATAACAGAGGTTCAGAGATAGCCACAAAACCCTGTAACAGTATCTCAAATGTGAAGGTCCTGTTCAACTGCTACTCCTCCTTCTTCAGTTTTCCTCCTATTTACTGTCTACAGGTTATGGACTGAATCAGTGATAACCGGGGTCTGGTAGAACACTTAGGTCTGGAACATCTTCCTGGTGCCCAGTTTAGAGTTAGGTGGGGAGAAAATAACTCAAGATTGCAGCAGAACTTGAATTTGCTTGAAGAAAACCAACTGGCTGGTTGGTCAGAAAAATCCCACAGTGTGTCTGTGGTTTGTGCACCTCACCTACAATGTTCCTCCAGGCTTGTTCAAGCACAAGACCTCACAAACCTCTGAGGTTCAAGTGAGGTTGTCTGTGACATCTGCACGTTTCCATATACTAACATTCCTGCACTCTCCATTAATTTGGACTCTCCAACCACACACCAACCCACTAGCCTCCTCCACTTTGCTCAGTTCATGCTCAATATCACACTCTAACAGCTTACATACCTGGCCCACCAGTTGTCCCAGTGGTTTGGGGCACTGGGACGTAAGGGCTCCAGTTTGCTTTAATCCTAAGCAGTTTTGGGATGGCCTGACCCCTCACCCTGTGGTCTGACACCATCCCAGCACTTGTACTTATGTTAGGAGCCCCCAGGCACCACCAGCCAAAGCCCCTCTGTGTAACTGCACATGTCCTGCTGGGGAGCTGGGTTTGCCTTTGCTGCCCTTCAGCTGAGCAGGAGATTGCCTGAGCTGAGGAAGTGGTGCAGGCAGGCCTGGACCTCAGCCCCCTGCCCACAAAATGTGGGTAACAGCACTTGCTCTCTAATCAATGTAAAACCAAGTTAATAAATATTTAAAAAATAGTGCAAGGTGCACTGGTATCTTCTAAAAGAGATCAGTAAGCACTGCAGTTTCACAAAGTAACTTTCAAGGAGACTAAATTTAATCTCAACCTGTGTCCTTTAAAAATATAACAACACAAACCCACCAGCAAAACAGACCTATTCCTTGCAAACTCATGTCATTAAACAAGTGCATTTTTGCTGTAGTCCTTCAGTCACCCTTTCAGGTACCTTTCTGCCAACATTTCTAGGGGTTTTTTAACTCTCTGATGTAAGTTCAGATTTCTTTCCTTTGTTTAGCATCACTATGAACTCTTGTTATCATGGTAAGGAGGATTAGTGGAAAGGAACATGGACAGTGATCCCAACCTCATCAAAAGCACACAACCTCAAGAAATATCATCATTAAAATGTCACTACCTTGACTGTAATTACACCCAGTTCTCAAGATCACATGCTTACCCAGATTATTGTGTGCTGGAGACATAGGGTTTGGTGATAAGTTTGGAGAACCTGAAAATCAAGACATTATAATGATTAGTATGGCATCTGCACAAGGAAAAACACTTGCACAAAGGCTCCAGTGCTGCCCAGGCTTGTTGAAGGCATAACCCACTTCTCACCTCAGCCTCATTTTGTGACACCAGCAATTCTCTGACATTCTCTGATGTTGATTACTCTCTACCTGAGCTTCCAAATGCTGTTAACTTTTATCAACTTGCTACATCTGCAATATTGCTAAGCAGCTTCATAATGCACTCACTTGAGTTTGACCCATTCGTTTTCATACCTGAGCATGCAGCTGGCTGCTTTACTCTCATCTGCAATTATCAAACCTCCAGGTATCATCATGACAGCTACATACCCAGGTAGCTGGGCATTTAAGAGCTTGATTTGACCTTGCTAGGCACAAAACTTTCTCATAACAGTTGAACACATATCACTTTATATCAACAAATCCTACTGGTTTGGGACAACCAAGTATTGGATCAAGCTGGACAGATCTGACCAGGCAACTGTCAGAATTTTGTCCCAATTAATTTCAATTTGGCCCACAAATCCTGTGCATATATTTTCAAATATCTGCATTTGGAGGTCCAGAGCAACTTCCACAGTCTCTGGGTTCTACATAGATGCAGACAGGTGGTACAGTCCATTTTTTCTTCTCCTCCAAGGACTTTTCATCCATGGACTTCCCTCTTCCTTGGAAGAGGGAAGTCCATGCCACCTGAAGGAAGGGATATTTGAACATAAATTGGGTATTTTCAGCATCTTCCAGGCCAATCCTATTCCAGTCCACTTTCCAAAAAGCCATGCATCCATTCCACGTGCCAACCACATTACCAATAACTGTATGCACTAAAATGGATTGTGTCAGTAGGCTTATGTTTGATGTAGACAGACCAGCCCACACTGCCTTCCTCCATCTGTGTAAATGCAGGGACAGACTGAAAATTATCCAACCCTCTTTTAGGAACCCACATGTGCTCCATGGCTGAAGACATGCACAGAAACCAAAATATCTGTGTGCAGTATTTGAACTAATTAGGTTCTGCATGTCTGTCTTAATAGATGTGCCATGTATTTGCATGCCCCTCTTGTAAAGCACCAGCCCTTCTAACCAAGGATGTGTTTTTGCTTTCCAAGCATAAGTTTTATACATTCAGAATCTGAATCAGTGGCTCTTACAAGCAGTGACACCACTCAGATCAACAAGATGCCTTTAACAGTTATTCCCAGAAAGATGAGATCTGCATGTTTAATTTTCAAGTGGCTGCTCATTCTAAACCTGGTTACTTGTTTTCTTAGCAGTGGAATGCAGACTTTCAACTTTCTTTGGGATATATCCACTAAATGATACTCCTATTTAAAAACAAATGGCCTAGTGGTTATTTCTAATATAGTTAAGACTGGATATTTCAGTATGTAAACAAGAAAATTATAAAAAAAAATGCCTCTGGAAAAATGAGAACATTTCCATGTGCATCCAGATGCATGGACTCAAATACAATACAAGCTGTCATCCCCACTGTTTCAGGATCCTGCTCAATAGTGTCTTGTGATGGATGTTGGGGAGAAAAGGAACATACTGTACCTTTCATCAGCAGCAATTAAAACATACAGCCCTGTGCTTTATATGAGACATGAGACTACATTTGCACTCCTACAGGGATATAATACCTCAAACCACCATCTGATCTTCAGTGCCTTAAAGAAAAAATTGTAAAAGAGTCTCCTATATGACCTAGAAAGCTGCAGCAAATGGCAAAAGTTGACTTACCTGCATCCATGCTGGGGTTCATCTGGTGGTCACTAGTTTCTCCATCCTCACTCAAATAGCCTGGAGGAGGTGTTTCTAGAAGCATAAAATGATCATACTGTCATTGCACCAAAAACATGTATTCACAAGGAGCTAAATTTCTTTTTTATTACTTTTCTTCTCAAGCTGCTGAAAAGAGGAGCTGGCATAACCAGGATGACAGTCATAGCATATTTGTGAATAATAGAGGAGGGGGAAACAAAAAAAATCTGGATTTTCAGTCCCATAAAACTTCAAGCCATGCAGACAGTTTTCTGTCCACATATTTTGCCTCTCCTGGTGTGCAGCTGCATAGCTTGTCCATGCAAATAAGGTGTAAATTGCTTGTAAAAGAGATACATAAATAGAAGAGCTCAATTCCATCAGAAATACAGACACTTTTACTCAAATTAAAATGGCTGAGTTTCATTCAAATCTAAACTTGCTAAGAGAACATTCAGCTTTCCATTTCACAATAAACTGAGTACGTACTACAGAAGGGAAGAGGTCAGTTTAAAGACAACAAAACTAGAAACATCCTTGTTTTGTGTCTACACTTACAGCTTTCATCTATTTTTGCCCAGGCTCCCACTCCTTAGCTTCACAGTAACGATGGGAAGAGTTTCCAGTCATCCAGCTTGGCATACAGAGCCACCAGTCACTGTGCAATATGGCCCTTTTCCCTCCCTTGCTGTACGGAAGAGACAGTACCTGGAATGTAGTTGCTCTGTGGCTCGATGCCTGCTGGGAAGTTAGTGTTCTCTGGGATAGAGTGACTGTAGTCGTCCAACGGCGGGAACTCGGCTGGGATCTCCGTGTGCCGAGGCACCAGCACTGGAGGTAACACTGCACGAATGGGAAGGGAACAAGGCAAAGCAGAACAGCTTTAAAAGAAAGTGACTGAAACCCTAGAAAATGAAGAGAAACCAGTTTGGAGTAACACCCTTGAACACATGCAGCACCAAAGTTGCTAATTAAGGGACACAATTTGATACTTGCTTCTGAAATAACAGCAACAGTGAAAGATGCTGTTCTTAAGACATCTCAGCTAGGGATGGGATACGTGCTCCTCTGAGCACACCTGGTCTGTCTGCCCCTGCTAAGGCAAAGAAACAGGTCTTCTTTAAAAAACATTCCAGGGAAGCTATACCCCATGATTCCAAAGGAATACATTTCACATCAAATGGAACAGCAAGGTAGGATTAGCATAAACACCCAGACTGGTTCTGCGAATTTGTACTGACACGCAGCAGAACTATCAGCAGCTCCAGATGAAAGTCTCTTTCAGAGGCAGGAGGAGACTTCAGAACAGGAAGTTCTGTTGTGTTGGGAGCTAATCTTAGATCCACTTCAACTTAACAGTAAGTGTACCCATAATCTAATAGCAACAGTTAGGGAAGCACAGAACTCTGCTATAGTTGATACTTGTATCTGTGCAGTGAGTGAGCTGTTTACATGCACATGATGCCGCATTAGGAATGTGGCAACAATGCAACCTGCTCAACTTGGATTTTACCCATTTAAAACGGTATTTCCCCCCTGAGTGCAGATTCATAAATTATTCTACTGCACACAGCAACAGATCACCATCAATAATAGACACACTTAGGTTTTAAACCCCTATGCCTACTGCTTTATTCAATTTTCAAATGCACTTATAAATCCCTTGTGCCGGTACTGACAGCGGAGGTGCCTGCACAGAGGGCCAGCAGTAGTACCTGGGGTCTCCACTCTTTGGTAATGGTAAGGATTCACACAAACTTCATCCTTCTTCATGTTGAAGGCGTACTCGCACATCTCCATGGCCCGCAGCTCATGGTGGCTATGAAGGTCCGGCCACCGCCAGAGCCGGCAGTAGATCACATGGGGAAGCCCCTTTCGGTGAGACACCTGCAGCCGGCCATCCAGGGACCTGCAGGCAGAGCAGAGGGGGACAGCCCTTTAGGTTGGCATGGACACACGTGTACAACTGACCACGTCCCATCACACACTATACAGGAGAACCTCATGTAAAGCCTGCGGACTCAGCAGGAGGCTCGAAGCACAGGCCATCCTGACACAAGCCCCAAAGCCCACTGAGGTAGTGCTGCCATGAGGCATTCTGGTCCCAGGCTTCTAGCTGACTTGAGCATCTCTGACAGCTGTAAAATGTTTGTTACATATAACAGCCCTGCTCTGGATTTGTTCATTTGCTGAAAAGAGGTTAATTAGGAGACAGAGACAACAGCTACAGCGAGTAAGAAAACATCAACTTAGTGGTTCTTCTTAAGCATTTCTGTGTCCTAATGAGCAGGCTGTTTGCACAGCTCTCAACAACTTCTGTGTGCACATAAAGGTGTTACATCTTCAAATATGTGCTAATAAAATTGGACTTCTAAAATACAGAGACATGAATTTGAATTGTGACAAAACCATCCAAAATGGATGGTACCTCTTCTTTAAAGTGTTCACAAACATGACAAGCAAGCAAGGCTTCCATATCACTTTCCAGACCGCAGCTTAAAGGAGAACCAGGTTTTTTTCAGCGCAGCTTTGTTTTTACATTGAGCCCGTGTCTCCTCCAACTCATTTTTCTCCTAATCCTGTCCTCATCCCAGAATAGCCTGTTCCTAGCAAACCTTCCTGACAAGCGTGTTCAAATCCTCTGCAGCAGAGGAAAGAGCTGGAGCAGGGTCCCCTCCACTCCCTGAGCCACAAAACAGGAGCTGCTCCCCAGGCACTTGCTTTGAAGCCTAACCCTTCATTTCCCTTGCTTTTCTTAATGACTGAAATGAACCACTTCAGGGGGTTGGTGTGAGCCCGTGTCTCCTCCAACTCATTTTTCTCCTAATCCTGTCCTCATCCCAGAATAGCCTGTTCCTAGCAAACCTTCCTGACAAGCGTGTTCAAATCCTCTGCAGCAGAGGAAAGAGCTGGAGCAGGGTCCCCTCCACTCCCTGAGCCACAAAACAGGAGCTGCTCCCCAGGCACTTGCTTTGAAGCCTAACCCTTCATTTCCCTTGCTTTTCTTAATGACTGAAATGAACCACTTCAGGGGGTTGGTGAAATGAAATATTTCTAATTTTTAGTCTGTCAAGTAAAGGAGAAAAAAAATACATAAATTGAAATTTTACTCAGAATTATTTCCCTTGGTTCTTCGTGTTGGCAGCCAACCTAGGAAAACAAAACAAACCCAAACCAAAACACACAAACAATTATTCCAGCAGTGGTTGCGCTCGGCATTGGCTGCCCCAGGAAGAGTTTTCCCAAAAGCTTCTCTGGCAGAGTAGAGCAACACGCACACCTCTTGCAAACACTGCTACAACAGCCAAGGAGGCAACACACAACCATTCCAGCTCTTACTGACAAGCACTAGGTTGAGGGGAGCAGGAGAACACACCACACAACTGTTATATATGAAGTGCGTAAGAGGCTACGGCACCATCGAGGGACCTGCTGGTACAGGTTGTAAATCAGCTACAACCTGCAATTATATTGCAGCCCTGGAAAATGCACAATACCCACAGTTATTATTTATAGTCCATATTAATAGTGTGTATTTCTGCATATTGTGCTTGTTATTTATGGGTCACACATTCTCTTCAGCCTATTCTGGGACAGGGTGACCAACCACCTGAGGATCTGGCACATCCTCCAAGTGTGTTCTTACACTGAGCTCCTTCTGAGGACAGGAAAGCAGAAAGCAATTTTGCCCAGTGGAAGACTCACAAGGAGGGCACCAGTGTCCAGAACTGATCTTGGTATTTATTTCAATGGGGCCAAGACTTGACCTAAGTGACCCCTAAACTTGTCAGTGTGGAAAAACATTAAAAATATACACCACGAGTGTGAAAATATTCACTAAATTTAACAAAAGACACTAGATTGAAATAAATGAGGATAAAGGAGAAGACAGAAGCTTCAGAGAGATTATTCCAAGTATCCCACAGGAGACACAAGTGTGGCAAGTGTTCCTAGTGCTCCCAGTCACTATCAGCAGAACGGACACTTGGGCTGAGGTTAACAGCTGAGAGTGGGGACTAACACAAGGTGTGGATGACTTTGGGATTATTCACAAGGATGGTTCTCTCCCTATGATTCCTGGGACAGAAGAAACTCTTTATACTTACAACAAACTTCCCAGTCACCACCCCAGGGTTCTTGGTGCAAGTGATGAAGTCTTTACAAAAGATGAGCCAGCACATCTATGTGCCTGGCACCCTCTGGAGGCAGTGGCACTTGCCACCCACCTTAATGAAGCCCTTCTGCCAACAAAGTTCTCAAAGAAGACAGTGGAGAGAGACCCCAAGTCACTGTTTTCTGAGCAGTCCCCAAACCCTGAACAGCTTCAGCGGTTGCCTAAAAACCACCCTAAAAGCAGGACAAAGCTCACCCACTGGTGTCACAGCTACTCCCTTTTGTTCACAGAGCCTGAACGCTGCAGAAGATGCTGTGACTGCTGTCCACCACTGCCCATGGTGAGGATGCTGAAGAGATGGACTCTCTACAATCTTAGCTACAGAGACTTTTCAAATGACACAGCCATATGTTTTATTTTCAAATATAATAACCTCTCCCCCCAAAAAGAAGATAAGGCAAAGAAATTATATTTTCCCAAAGCCCTGGAGGGCAACTACATTTTTATGACTGTGAAACCTCCCCTCAGGCTCTCTTTACGGGACTTGGGACAAAACAACATCATCTGCGTGTTTCTAGGAAGAATATGGGTAACAGAGCAGCTTTTTTTCTTTCTGCTGTCCTGCCTCAACCCTCAAGGAATATTTGTTCCAAATCAAGAAATAACTGGCATGGCTGAGATGGGACACAAGAGCAGATGAGCAAACACTTTTCTCTCCTACAGGCAGCTTTCTGCACAGATACAGAACCCCAATTACCACAGTCAATTGCCACATCTTTGTTAGCTAATCGAATGCCCGCTCATAGAAGCAAACATTTGATCAAGCATGAGAACTGGCTTGAGTGTCCAGATATCATTTATGAGTGGTTGAGGTTGCAGTCTTAAGGGCAGCTGCACCAAGTCTTGGTGAGACAGTCTTCCTCCTGTCCAACACATTCCCACAGTTCTGCCCTAGCTCATCTCCTTCCTTCCTTTGTTGGCTGGCCGCAGTATCATACCACAAGCTGGCTCAGGTATCACCTTCTTGGCAGAAGATGATCCACTCTTTCACAGGTTAGCAGGCTGTAGCAGTTCTAGGAGGAACCTGATGAAAGCCAAAAGCTGGTGCCAGATGTATTAGTACAGACTTCAGTTAGCAAGCACCACAGCTGAGGATGCATTTGACTGGCTCACCATCTCTGGAGGCCACAGCCCACAGGGATGACCATAGTAGATGTCTCTCACATCCATATGCAAAGTAACTGGACAACACAATCCACAGCACACACAACTTCTACCCTTTCTTGGTCCTATTCTGAAGGACAGTCTGATCTTGGAGGCTGAAGTATTCCCAAAACCACTTGAGAGCTCAGCACATGAAAGCTAAGCACCAAATGTTATGTTGGGTTATTTATATTGGGTTACTGGACTGCTCTTCCCTCTTTCCTTCCTTTTAACCAGCCTGTGTTGTCAGATCTCCCTGTACAACTGAGCTGATACATTTATTACTCCATCCTACCTAAAAGGATTTCTTCTAAAAATACCAAAGCTCTTTGGCAAAAATTCAGTGTACTGGATGGTGCTCTCCAAGCAGCACCATTTATTTTGGGGGGAAGCTGTGTCTTCAAAGCCCCTCTATACTGCATGGTGGGATTAAACAGCAAAGGCTGTCAGGAGCTTTTCTTTTCAGCCTTGACTGAGCAGGTGATGCAGACTCTCACTGCCAGAAAGTGTTCAGTGCATCTTTGGTAACTAGCATATATCCTGAACTTGCAGGATAAGGATGAGAAATTAAGGGTTTGCAAGGTCACTCTCTAACCCAGAGCACTGAGAGCTGAGTTAACACCAACTCCTCTGCACTGTTTGGCTACCGCTTTACTGAATGGGGCATGTTACAGCTGCTTTGGCTCAGATACCTGATCAGGTATTTAAACACAGAGGAAGTCCCCAATTCCCTTAAAATCCCTCCCCAGGAAACAAAGAGAGATGGGCATCCCTTGGAGCTGCTGGAGACATCATTCCTTGCCCTTCCTTACCCTCCTTCCCTCTTCTTTCCCTTAGACATTAGGAGGAAATTCTTCACTATGAGGGTGGTGAGACACTGGCTCAGGTTGCCCAGAGAAGCTGTGGCTGCCCCATCCCTGGCAGTGTTGAAGGGCAGGTTGGATGGGGCTTGGGGCAACCTGGTCTAGTGGAAGATGTCCCTGTCAATGCATGGCGGTTGGATCTAGAAGATCTTTAAGGTCCCTTCCAACCCAAACCATTCTATGAGTGTATGATCAAGAGTTACCCAGTGGCAAGGTTATTCCACACCAAGGGCAGTTCTAACCAGAGATTAAAAGATATGGAATGAAGAAAGAGAGACCAGGACTCCAGGAATGCAATCAGGTAATTGCTTTCACAACAGCACAAGACATGGTCAGGCCACCACTGCAGTGTCCTTAAGAAATAAAGGAAAAACTCTTCAGGCTGAACACCTCTAGGATTGATTCCTAGTTATATGTTGTTACAAACCATTTACCAGGAAAATATAACACATGAAACTGCTACTCCAAACTGTCCAGGCTACTGCTGCTCAAAGAACAATGGGCAACTGTGACTCTTAATAGCAAAAACAGAGAAGAGGGGAAAAAAGAATGAGAGAAACATTGAAGCTTTTGAAAACAACAACAGCAAAAAAACGAACAAAAAACCCCTCAGTCCTCTGTAACTGTCTGAAAAAAGAGTGAGGAAAAAATAGAAGAAGGTTAAATTGCGTAACAGGATTTGATTTCCAGGCCTGATTGGGGGTTTTTGTTGTTTTGGGGTTGGGGTTT